GAGATTGACGTTTTTTATTTCACAATTTTTAATTTTTATAATGAATAATTGATTAATTATTAGCTTAAAATTAAGCTAATTATTGAATGGAAATGAAAATGGATTTTCGAAATTCAAAAACTTCAGTCACAAGTCTATTATGTTAAAAATACAAATTATAAATTTCAAAGCTATATCTTAACAAATAACGCCGTTACATGTCCACAAATGATGTTATGTTCTAACATTGTTCTTATGGGGAAGAAATCCAACATGGCTTCCACTACGGAAGACTCTTAAGGGAAAGGAGCGAGCCGGGTGAGTCTGGAAAAGTTATGAATGCATGGTTTTATATTAGGAAAAATCAGTTAACATTATTATTTCTTGGGGTAGGAAAAAGGAGGCAGCAACTAGTTTCTTTTTGGAAGGCTGCCACTCAGTTGCGGCGGTGGTGGGGCCGTAACTAACAAATGGGGTATTAAAATAATTTCAAAAATGATTTCATTGCAGCGGAACTTTTGATCAACTTATCATACAAACACTGTTTTCAACTTGAATGCCAATAGAACCAGACGTGGCCCGGTACCTTTCCTTAGAAGGAGAAAGGCGCGAGCTGGGTGAGGCATGGAAAGTTGTAGAACTTTGTATAATATGATAGGTTACAAATTGTCACTGCAAAAATCTTTTGTTTTTAATATTATTGTCAAATTTCTATGCAGGTAATTTATCTAGCAAATGAGTATTCTGTTTGAATAATTTATGCTAAAAATATAAATAGGTAACAATTACTATTAATAAGTATTTAAGAATTAATATATCAATTAAGAAATAACGTTATTGTTAAAGATTAATATCTCGGGCAAATTGAATGTCGCTGATTAAAATACTGGAAAGTTTATTAAGTTTAAATGAAGACAATAATACTATTTCAACAAAACAAGAAAGAAGTAATTTCATGAACAGCCTTGTGAAAATGAGGCCAACGTTATGAACACCTACAGAGTGATCATCTTCATCAACGCTAACAGATACAAGTAATACATGTTTGTATGTAAGAATTTTATTTGAAGTGAGGTTTTAAAATAAAATACAAAGAGAAAATATGACAAAAAAAGAGAAAAAAATAAAAGTAGTTTAGGCGTTTTATTCCTTATCATGCTTTTGTAACTTATTACAGGCAATAGAATCGGACGTTTCCCGGTACCTTCATTAATTATGTTAAGGGAAAGGAGCGAGCCGGGTGAGTCTGGAAAAGTTATGAATGCATGGTTTTATATTAGGAAAAATCAGTTAACATTATTATTTCTTGGGGTAGGGAAAAGGAGGCAGCAACTAGTTTCTTTTTGGAAGGCTGCCACTCAGTTGCGGCGGTGGTGGGGCCGTAACTAACAAATGGGGTATTAAAATAATTTCAAAAATGATTTCATTGCAGCGGAACTTTTGATCAACTTATCATACAAACACTGTTTTCAACTCGAATGCCAATAGAACCAGACGTGGCCCGGTACCTTTCCTTAGAAGGAGAAAGGCGCGAGCTGGGTGAGGCATGGAAAGTTGTAGAACTTTGTATATTATAATAGGTTACAAATTGTCACTGCAAAATTTTTTTGTTTCTAATATTATTGTCAAATTTCTATGCAGGTATTTTATCTAGCAAATGAGTATTCTGTTTGAATTTAATTGATGCTAAAAATATTAATAGGTAACAATTACTATTAATAAGTATTTAAGAATTAATATAACAATTAAAAGTAACGTTATTGTTAAAAAGATTAATATCTCGAAATAATTGAATGTCGCTGATTAAAATACTGTAAAGTTTATTAAGTTTAAATGAAGACAATAATACTATTTAAACAAAACAAGAAAGAAGTAATTTCATGAACAGCCTTGTGAAAATGAGGCCAACGTTATGAACGCCTACAGAGTGATCAACTTCATCAACGCCAACAGATACAAAAAATACGTGTTTGTATGTGAGAATTTTTTTTGAAGTGAGGTTTTAAAATAAAATACAAAAAGAAAATGTGACAAAAAAAAGAAAAAAATTAAAGTAGTTTAGGCGTTTTATTCCTTATCATGCTTTTGTAACTTATAACAGGCAATAGAATCGGACGTTTCCCGGTACCTTCATTAATGTTAAGAGTCCTCCACACCCAGCCGCAAATTTCCAAAAACAGCTTTCACGCGGTCCCATATAGACGCCCCAGTAATTGAGCGAAAATTATAAACTAAATATATTCATAACGAGAAAAGTCCAAACTACTAGAATTGCTTTTTGAAAATTTCGATAACTTAAATAGTTTTTTTATATTGTCAGCTGAAAATCATCAACTTTGGATATTAATATCGCTTATTTTATGTCTTTTTTCAAAATTTAAAAAAGCATTTTGAGTAGTTTAGGGTATTATTTGTTCAAATAATATTGTATTACATTGATATGTTGAAAAATACGGGCACAAAATGGGACCGCGCAAACCCTTACATCGCGGAATGCGCACTGATTCGAGCGATCCTGGCGGCAAAGTGAGGCGCTTCCATATATTCGCGCAGTAATATTTGTTCACACTAAGAATGACGTAGTTAATTCCGTGACGTTAGTATTAAATGACGTATACAACCTTTTCACTACAGTAACCACGATATTCATCGTATCGTGGGTGTGATAGAAGCACTAATTGGTAGGCCTAAGTTGCGAGTACTACTGTACCTATTAAAAATATAGTTTGCACAATTCCCTAGATATTTTAATAACGTTTAATATTATTATAAGTGTTATAGATTTGGTATATTGGTGCAACAATATATGTTTCTAATAACGCCTGACTACAAAATAAAGCTTTACAGGTATATTAACACTTAAAATTGGCACTGGCAAGATTAATCACTTTACGGCAAACTGTTTATTCGTTGTTGGTTTCGCAGCAGGCCTATAAAATCTTGCACACCTATTTCCAACCAAATGATAAACAAGTAGCTATAATGCAGTTGCGAATTAGGAAAGTGAACGGCCAAACTTGACAGTCACAACTTGATAAGAGTAGTGTATGGGGTGATGGCGGGAGAGAGGGTGGGGGTGAGGGATGGGACCGCGTCTCGTTGTCCCTCCGTCTAGTTGTACCTACGTCTACTTGTACCTCGAGGCCTAGGGACAACTAGTCGTAGGTACAACTAGACGTAGGTACAAGTAGACGGTGGCTCACCCGACTAGTTGTACCTGCAGATTTTTAGGAGGTACAACTAAACGTAGGTACATGTAGACGTAGGTACAACTAGACGTGTATCCCACCGACAAGTAGTATCACCTAGCTTGTACGGATGCGACCAGTTGTCCCTACGACTAGTAGTCCCTACGACTAGTGGTCCCTCCGTCTAGTAGTCCCTACGTCTAGTTGTACGTACGTCTAGTTGTACGTACGCGTATTTTGCGTCCTTATAGTCTAGTTGTATCTATCCTTCAATTCGTTACCCTGTTTTTAATAATACCCTTAATTAAATCAGGAACTGCAGTATTCCGAGTCGATTGAGTATGATTGGCAAATATTTTTCACCGCAATACGATATTTTAGTAGTTTTACAGACGTTAATTGGAGGCTGAAAGCTACCAGCTACGCATTGCTGTCCAGGGTCGAAATGGCAGCTATAGTTGTGATTAAAATTTTCCAGCCCTAGTACCGAAAATCGCTTATTTAATTAAAACATTTATATATATAATTAAATATACAAGCAGTATATCCCTAATGAATTGCAATAGACCGCTGCCCAGCAATTATGTATTACTATTTTTGCTGATTCCTTTAAATATTTTTTCACATAACCTTAAAGTATTTGCATTGATTAGTGTGCATTTCTTATAAGGCCGAACATAAAATTTCTACAGTGACGTGCGTGGTTGCAGGATTGAATGAAGACAGAAAAAGATGTAATGTAGGCCTAGTGTGTGGACGCAGGGCATGGATGGAGGACAGTGGCACTAGCTAGCAGAGCTCAGTAGACGAGTGTGTTGTGTTGTGTGTGAGAGAGAGGGAGTGAGAAAGAGAGAGAGAGAGAGAGAGAGAGCCATGACGGTGGATGGTTGGGGGGGAGGAGGGTTGGCCGACACGTCACTCTTGCGCTGTGCTCTGCCGCACTATTTTCTATATCTCTGTTGCGCGACCAATGTCTGTCTGTTCGATTCTAAAACGAGAAGGGGTGTGGATGCCTCTTAAGGGAAAGGAGTGAGCCGGGTGAGTCTGGAAAAGTTATGAATGCATGGTTTTATATTAGGAAAAAATCTGTTAACATTATTATTTCTTGGGGTAGGGAAAAGGAGGCAGCAACTAGTTTCTTTTTGGAAGGCTGCCACTCAGTTGCGGCGGTGGTGGGGTCGTAACTAACAAATGGGGTATTAAAATAATTTCAAAAATGATTTCATTGCAGCCAAACTTTTGATCAACTTATCATACAAACACTGTTTTCAACTTGAATGCCAATAGAACCAGACGTGGCCCGGTACCTTTCCTTAGAAGGAGAAAGGCGCGAGCTGGGTGAGGCATGGAAAGTTGTAGAACTTTGTATAATATGATAGGTTACAAATTGTCACTGCAAAAATCTTTTGTTTTTAATATTATTGTCAAATTTCTATGAAGGTATTTTATCCAGCAAATGAGTATTCTGTTTGAATAATTGATGACAGTAATGCCTACAGAGTAATCAACTTTATCAATGACAACAGATACAAGTAATACGTGTTTTTATGTAAGAATTTTATTTGAAGTGTTTATTAAGTTTTTTGAAGATATGAGTACATTTTAAAACCATTCACTGTTTTTTTTTTAATTAGAAAAAACTTTACCAAATAAAATGGTAAATCCCCTGTTAGAACAATAACTTGTGACTTGTTTATGTGAATTATCACATAGCAGTGCCTGTGAGTGATTGTGTGACTCATATGCAGATGGTAGTCTAAGCCAAGCAGATCCGAATGAATGTGGGATTTCTGTAATTATTTGCAATGACACACACACACTGTTATAAACTACCTGGTACTGATCGCTGCACCATATCTGCCTGAAGGCCTGTGCAAGCCGTTGCTGGGATGAGAGCCACTGGTCGTCAAACTTGACTAGTAAAGACACTATTCGGATGCTTTGGTATTGCAGTTCCATTTTGTCCGCTGTAACAGGTGACAGACAGACAGGTTACATTGGGCTTAAACCCTGCATTAAGTTAATGTTTCATCAGGTAACATTTGACATAAGGTAATATGTTGCATCATGTAATGTGTTATTATCAGGTAAATGTTACCATCAGGTAACATGTAACTTTACATTGCATATTAAATTAGGTAACGTGTTACATCAGATTACATATTATTTCACATTCGGTTTGGCATTTTTTTACCATCTTATCCTACCTAGGACATGAGCTCTGGCCCTGTACCATTTTAAACATCACTTCATTTCCCTTTGTTCCATGTTGTGTTTTTTTTTTTTTTTTTTTTTTTTTTATGTGTGGATTAAAGCATCATCAAACATAAAAAGAAAGCATAATGAATAAATATAATAAGATACATGGACACATTCAATTTGCAGGGAACTCAATGATGGTTTGACAGCAAACCTAAGTACACATTAAAATGAATGATACTTAAATAGGAAATAGATCTGACCATTTTTAGGGAATAATTTATAGCCCAGCAAAATGGTGTTTAAAAAGGGCTCAAAGTGGAAAGTTCTGGTGTAATTGTTTTTTATGGCTTATTTTATGTTTTTGAGGTTGCTGAACACGAATCTGATGTTTTCCAACAAAAATTATTTCGGCAAATGTGAATTAAAAATTAATTTAAAAAAAATGCTTTATTTCTAGCTTTTGGCTTACAACTTTTAAATTACAGGCCAGTAAAATAGGGTTTTGCCCAGAAATAATTCCTGGAAAGCTTGGGATCATTTTAATCCTTTCTATTTATATAGAAGTAAAAGGATTTGAAGTTTATCCCATTTTTCCAGGTGAGCTTCTGACCTGGGACCATAAAAACCTTGAAATTCAGGGTTATTTTTTAGATTTTGCTAAAACGTCAAAAAACCGTCTAGCCAAAAAAAAAAAAAAAAAAAAAAAAAAAAATCATAAATGAATTGTAGAGTATAAAATTCCGCATACATTGACTATCTGGTGATGCAAATCGAACCAATGATAAGTGATTTATATTAATACAAATAAAGTTATTTTATTCAGAAATTATTGAACATTGAATATTTAACATATATATTTCTTCCAGAAAATAGATACCAAGTACATTATCATTTACAAAGTAATTACCTAATAGAAATTACAAAATACCCCCGCCACAGCAAACCTGCAGACTAAGCGAATTTTCATTTGCATGATTCAATTTACTCTAAAACATCACTTTAAAAATATCGACTTTGTTCCCCTTTTAAATAGCATTTGTTTAACGCGTACTTAGGTTTGCTGCAACAGGGAGGGTAAAAAGTGTTTAAAATGTTAATGGTTTCGTATGAAATGAATAAATTTTCCACTTTTTATCAAAATATGTTCATAACAAGCAAAATATAATAGTTTACTTATTCCCCATAAGAATAACATGGGAATTTTAAAAGTATTTTTATTTTTTCTCCGTTACTATTAGGTGCATAATAAAGCTTCAATATATTAAATTATTTGTTTTTTAAGCTATACAAAATTGTTTGGGAGAAATTGCAGAACTGTATACTTTTAGGGTAAAACAATTAATTTTTACCCCCATATAACCCCACCAAAACCAACTGGTCTGATCATGCTGACTCGTGAACTCCTCCGAATAAATGAAGGTTTACAAGTTTATAACAAATTTCATAAAAATCGGATGGTTTTTGATCGAGTTATCGTGCTAACAGACACATATATTAACATTTAAAAATATATATAATTAAAATATTTATGTAACGGGGGAGGGGGGAGGTGCCGACAGGCGTCTGCTTGTTGCTCACCGGGTACTGTAGTGTAGTCGTCAGTACTCGCATGCTATGCATTCATTCATCGTTATGTACATGTAGGTTGCCAGAAAAGTTACATAAATGAACGTATGCGGACATAATCCTTGAAGAGATACGATCAGTGGTGTATGAAACGAATGAATGTCCTTTTTGAAGACAATATGTTACATCATGGATGTTTAGTACAATATATGCACTGCTTTCAATAGAGCTTCTGACTGGACATGCCTATTCAAGAGCCGATAGAGCAGATATAAAAATGCAAATGTTTTGCCCATGCATGCTTGGCAAAACTTATTTTCAACACAATGGATTTGACGGCAGACCTTTAAGAAGAACTCTTAGTGTTATTCCGTAATTATAATAGGTCGGCTACGCTGTCACCTAATGAAAATGGCAGTGTAAAGAAATTGGAAACTATGTTTTCTGCTCGGCTACAAATTTTAGCTCATCGTGGTGCTACTTTTAAACTTTGGAACCTTGAGATACTATCACTTGTTACACTATTCGTAGAAGCTGAAAGATCGGCAAACTGCAACCTTCACCTCAAAAGATTTTAAAAGATGCTACCATATTTCCATGCAAGTGGACATTTCTTGTATGCTAAGTGCTGTAATCTGTACCTCGTCCAAGACGCACTCGATGAAAGACAAAATGAGCCCTGAGGAATATTAAAAGTTTATTGTTGGTGGATTTACCGTTCAAAGGACCAACAAGTTCTGGAGTGGATCATGGACAGACATGTCCATAGACCAATCTCTTATGAGAGTAATGAAAATTGCTGGAGCGCTTACCCATGACCGTGGTGTAAGTGAAGGGTTTCTTTGCAGATGAACAAAGGAATCAGTTCACTACAACAAATTTGGAAGAAATGGAGAAGATGTGTGGAGTGACATTAATCAGCTCTGAACAAAAAGTTAAAATGAGAGAAGCTAGAATCAAAAGAGATGGAAATGATTTAAAAAAGTTAGATGATTGGTTTACGCAACGCAAACCATTCGCTGATGTCTCTTAGCTCAGGTGTTGTGGGTGACAGCAATATAAACTGCCACAAGGCAAAGGAGATTGGCCACATTGCTTAAAATCCAATCGTGGGAAGTGATTTTCAACAGGTAAAGTTTTACAGAAAAGACAGAGTTTTGCCACTTTCCACAATGATCCATTCCCTTAAAATAAATGATGACCTTAATCGTACGTATCAATCCAACTATTATTGTTTACAGAATGACAATTGCCAAGCAGTCTGATGAGAAACTTAAAGGCTTTTTGAAATAGGAACTATGCCCGTACCCAATGCCTCTATTCGATGACTTTGGTATCAGGAAAGAGGCCAAGTCTTATGTAAATCATTCACACATACTGAAGATCCAAATCTTGAAAGGTTTTTTAGGGGAAAAAGAACCTGAAAGTAGCTCTGCAGAAATCATGGTACCGTTGGCCAAGAAGACTCGGAGAAATTAAAAAGTTTAACTTAATCAAAGTCATTTGTATCTACCATTATGTTGGTGTACATGTATTTTTAAATTAAAAGGGTTTAATATTTATAAATAAAACAAGATTTATGGGACGTTTTACACTTTTACATCCTATAATAATCTGGAGAAGTCATAACGGAAATAATTTTGCTTTTTTCCTAAATCAATTAATTTTGCAGACCTTTTAAATTTAGTTTGATAAAAACTTCTTTGTTAAAGACGAAAGTTATAGATACATAAAATGTAAAGAATTTTATGCTCTTTATTTTAGTATAGGATGATATTTGGGAAAAATTATTATTCGATAAATTATGAGCCAAAAACTAGAAAAAAATTCAATTTTCACCCTATTTTTCAAAAAATTTCATACTTGCCGATAAAATTTTTGTTGGAAAACTTCAAATTTGGATTCAGCACCCCAAAAAACATAAAGAAAACAAAAGAAAACAATTACACCAAAACTTTCCATTTCAAAACACCATTTGACTGGGCTATTAGTGCAATTCCAGCCAGGTAAATGGAAATTTGCTAAGCCGGTTTGCTGCGGCGGGGTTATTTGTCCCAGTCTATGTTCTACATGTGTGTCTCTGTCTATAGGTTTGGCCTCGCTAATAGTTCTTAACCTAATTTTAAAACTACTTTATGATGGTTATATGACTTTAGGGAATGAAATAGGTAAAGCCATTGTTTTAACTTTTGTTCTTTCTTGACACATCCTCTTAGGATTAAAAGGTTTTAATAATGTGTGGTAATTTTTGATAGAAAACCTTGAATGTTGGCTTCTATCTATCTTCATAGTAATGTCAATGTATCAAAATTGAAATTAATGGTTTGACTTTGAATACTATCTTGTGAAGAAAACAGAAAATAATAGTAACTGTGCCAAACCGATGTACAAAACAAAGTTATTTACTGAACCACATCAACCCTAAATTCCCCTTACCGCAGACCAGTAACTGTGTGCCGAACCGATGTACAAAACTATTTTATGTACTGAACCACATCAACCTTAAATTCCACTTACTGCAGACCAGTAACTATGTGCCGAACCGACGTACCAAATCAAATCTAAGTTCCCCTTACCGCAGCGGACCCCTAAATAAATCTGTTGGTGATTTGAAGGATTGGAAGTTCCCCGCTTTCCAGGTTTTGTGTATTAAGAGAACTATGTGACCGTTTAAGACTAGTACAAAACAACAACAGGTCACAGGTTGCATGATGAATCTTCAGTTTTGTGATAAAACTGATGAAAAGAAAACCGTGTCAGTCCAAATTTAAGCATAAAAGTAACATCACACAAAGAAGGAACCTAGCATAATCCTAAGTTACATATTCCCAAACCTATTAAAATATGCCTACTATTGAAAGCACAATAGTATAGAATGCATGCTCTTATTATTAATTATATGCTTTTGTGTTGGAGTAGGCCTAATGTCCTCATAAAAATTATTGCTTTGGGAAGTGTTTGATTTAGAAAACCCAAGTATATAAGAGGGACAGTCATGTCCGACAAAGAGTGTTTAGTAAGAGCAAAAAGTACTTACTGACAGACAGAGCACACTGACTATTGGACAATGCCAACGCCATTAAGATCAGTCTCTCAACACTGGTGTCGTTCTGCAAAACGTCTCGGAAAGGTTTTCCATTGGTGTGACGAATCAAAAATTCTAAATATCTGCTCCACTGCTCATCCTAAAAATGTAACGTCCTTAGCAAATCTGCACTAGAACCAGTTTACTTACTTCATCTGAAGAAAATCAAAAATTGTTTATGCCTTAAATACAATTTTTTTGTTTAAAAAATTACATGATAAAAGCAAAATTTGTCAATGAGGTGTGCGTTTAAATTATACATAGGCCTACCATACTTTACATTTAAATTGTACATGTATTTCAATTTTCACCAGTTCCTCAAATTGCTGATTCATATTAAGTTATTTCACAATAAAATATGTATTGTCTTTTTAACAAGAGATCTCCAATACAGCGACGATTAATATTAACAACACACGTATCTTTTTTTAACAATATGTGACTAAAAATGCATTGGTGACTGACAGGATTTGAGCCCGACTACTGGACAGAAGTACTACACTTTGTCCATGGATCAGCTATGGCCTTGTGTGGAAATTAATTGATTGTTTACTAATTAAAACAATTAAAAATTAAGTTTTGTAAATTTTGTGAATGAAGTCCTCCTATGTGGATACAACTTTCTTCTCACTCTAAACAAATATTTTTCTAAAGATGCAGCTTTATTTCTAAACTTCTAGGTTATAATTGAATTTAAGTTTGAACTTATCAAGTAATGGGATCTGAGCCATAGGAGTAGTAATCATTAATTCACCTTTAACTAGGTGTATGGTATTTAAAGTTCACACTTTAAATTTTTTGTTTATTAAAACAAGAGAGTTAATGTTTATATATGAGCAGAGTTTGAGAATAGTGTCTACGAATATGGAGTTGCTGGTGATAGAGAAGAGCAGAGACCGAAAGGAATACCTAGATTTATAGATGACGTGAAGAGGGAAATCGAAAAGAGAGGAATGAGATAACGAAGACCCAGGAATAAGTAAGTAAGGAATAAGTGCCACGGCAGTAAGTAAATAGGACCTAATTTAAAATCCTCACTACTCAAAACTAAAACTAACTGAATATCTTCATGCCAATGAACAATAAACATTTCTCTGACACTTCTAAATTTGCAAAAATCTTCAAACAATCTGACTGCACCTTGATGTTGTTATCCTGAAGGAACAGCTGCATTGTCTCAGCTGGGTAACGCAGCAGGAACTTCATCAGTGGCTCACGGAAAGGCGAGCTGGCCCCGATCAACATGGCCTTCTCATTGTGAAGTATCAGCTGGGACAACACATCTATGAAGCGTGGCCCTGCGGCGGGGATTTGCTGGAAGATGTTGATAATAGTGACTATTATCTTCTCTGCATCTCCATTCTTGGATATACCTGGAGAATCAAATACAACACGTCATTTTTGTGTGGTCGTAAATCACTTGAACATACACATAAAAGGTTAATTGAACTGAATTGAAAATATTCAAAAGGTAAAAATAGTAAAAGGTTAACTTCATTCCATTATCTCTTCTACATGTGGAATACGATCTTTTCGGAGACTATGTCACCTTTTCTTGGATCCTTATCAATATTATTAAGCTTTGCTAGTACACAGTTCATCAATCAAACCATTGAACACAAAACCAACATGTACACATATATTTTACATAATCACCAGACAGAATATTACAGATTAAAACATATTATTTGTGAAAGAATAATTACAATTTATTTTTGTTTCATATGAAGTTAATGTGTAAAGAACCCTTACCAATAACAACTACCCTGCCGATATTTGAGTTGTTTTCTTTTATTTTAAATTATCTGCACTTGGAGATAAGACAGATGACATAATCTGACGATTTATAATTGTCATCTATGAGAACAGTTTTTATTTGTATAAGCACACAGTTGAAGAAAGGCTAAACAAACAAATTTGTTGAATGTGTTTTTTTTTTTTTTTTTTTATGCTATCAATTTACTTTGGAGTTAACTAATACAAATAATTAAACTGATAAGAATATCTTACAATTTTTAATTTCCCACGTTTGTAAAATAAATAATCTTATCTACACTTTAAACCTGAACAATTAAAAAACAACCAACATGCCACTTTTAAATTTTAAAATCAAATTAAATTACCAACCAGTAGTCATAAATAAGTTACCTTTCTGTGCCTGAACAAGGTTATCCAACATCTTCCTGAGATGCTGTAACAGCTGATCACAGAGCTTCTCGCTGAAGCTGGAGGGAAACAGTTGCACGAGGTAAGACAAGCGACGTGCTCCACTCAGGTTGAGGTTGCGGTAGTCACCCAGTGTCAACAACAGAGGCCTCATCACCTCATGTACCTGTAGTAGTCACTCATTATAGACCTATTGTTACAGTGGGTAAACCTCAAGGTTATCCTGAGCTTTATTTATGTTTCATAATCATTATTACTGTACCAACATAAAATTTAAAAAAAGTCCAATTCACTTACAATCGTCATATCTATTGGTGAGCCAGCAACAAACGTCTTCATGCACTCAAAGGCAGCCTCCTGCAGCTCAGGATTGGGCCGCTCCAGTGCCTGGTACAGGATGGTGAAGATGTCTTTAGAGCAGCTCGGCACATAGTGACACGCAGCCAGCGCACGCATTGCTGCATTACGCAGAGGCACCAGCGAGCGGATGTTCTTGTAGCATGGTAGCTTCTGCAGCGTTGAGTCCGGGGCTTCACACAGCGACTTAACCTCCTGGTAAAACACGGCGTGCTCCCCGACATTTAGATCTGAAAGTAGATTTTAAGTTAATAGATAAAAGATTGCAGAATATGTATCGCAAGATTTTCACGAATTATCCATTGTAGCCCCAGGACATATGAGTAATATAAGTTTTTAAACCTTTTCTCAACAGACCTTTTGCCTGAAATGTATAAACGAATGACAACGAGATGCATAGCCTGTTGTTTTAAAGTTGTGTTTTCAACACTATTAGCATTTTTACATTTTTAAATCCTTGACATATAACTAACAAGCTCTAGCATTTATATTTATATATTTTAATTCATTGATAGCCCAATGAGTAAAGGCATCTGGGTCAACACAATCTCGCTTGGGATCAAAACTAAAAGTGTCAAAGACGATTGTTACACCCATTGGCAAACGAAAAATTCTATGAGTCCCGTTGTTGCAAACACAGCAACCTACAGATTTGAAGGCGAGCACCATTACAATATTGCAGCCTTGACAACTGATACAGAACAACTAACCCAGTGTGAAGAGTCTTGGAGACAATGTGGTACAGAAGGTGTTTCCCTCCATCAGTCCTATCTGTATGTTAGCGGCCTGATGACGTAGCAGGTGTTTCTTTGGAGGGATCATGTCTGCCAACTCATCCTTGTGAGGCTCCATCACCTCCACCACACTTTTCTTCTGTGTGTCCGCAAACACTTGTAGCAGATACATCGCCTGTTCAAGCAAATATATAATAATTAGGGATTTCATAAACAGATATGGAAATAAAATTCAAAGTTTAAAAGAGGTGTTTTTTATTCATTTAACCTACAAAATGTATACAGTGGCTAAAATATAGGTTACATAAATCAGACAAAAGCTCTTTACTTATATACTAGCAGCCAGCGTCACTTTGTGTCTTCAAAATACGTGATATATTTTAATTAATTTACAATTTTCTATTACAAATCCTATCAAAACACAAAATCTAAGTCATTTTCTTTTTTACATTTTCTTGAATCTTGAATCATGATTTTGCCGCGAGCGCGTAAGAAGACGATAATGTTTCCGTAACCACAGGAGTGGATGGTGATGTCCTTGGGAAATGAAATAATCAGAATTTTGCCGGGATCGCGGAGGACCTCACTAGTCAAAAGACGCCGGATTAATAGGGTGCCGCAGTGCCAGATTAGAGAGGGTCTACTGTTATGTACTCCTGTTTCATCTTGTTAGCTTTTACAATGTCTATTATACTTTTGTGTCTAATGAAAAAAGGATTATTTTTCTTATAGGCCTACCTTTTTACCTTTGTCCATCTACTTTCTATTGTGATTACTACACCTGACTAGTATCATAGCCTTATTGCTCAATTTTCAAACCTAACAACATCTTCAGTCTTTCAATTGTTTCTTCTTCGTTGAAAGATTTGCATAGAAATTACTGATTTTAATTTTTTGCATAGAAATGATTTTAACAATACACTCAGATTTGAAAGTGTAAGTCAATACAACAAACTAAATTTTCAATCATCAGAGCTAACCGAAGGGTTTCATTTCCAGAATTGCAGATGAAAAGCTTTACCTGTTGACGCAGCAAGTCAGTGGGACTGGTGACTTGTCGTATCAGCTCGTATGTGACTTCATTGAGAGCTTTCTTCTGAATGGCAGCCAGCTCTGGGTCGGAGGCTGGGTCCACTGGGGCCGCACACAATACTAGCATGTTCTCTAGGTTACTCTTAGCCTTGTCTATGGCCCCACTGGATACCTGAGCAAGAATTTCATTGAATTTAGATCAAGTTACATAAGTTTGTGGTATCAATTATGGATGAATGACAAATTTTTTTACTAAAACACTTGTTTTTAAGGCATTGATTGTGATAATCTATGTTATTATACAGGGTGTCTACTACATTCATGATATAAAATTGGTGGGATTGGTGGGATTTTATGGTTTTATTTTTAACTATGTTGTTTATGGTATGAAGCAAATACAAATAAATATAATCTAAAACGTCAATCAGCCTCAAAGTCTACAAAGTAGGGGTCTGCGGGTCCCCGATTTTTTCGGGTCGGGTCGGGCCAGCGGAAGGCCCGAGAAACCGGGTCGGGTCAGAGATTTGTTCGGGCCAAGATCGGGTCGGGCCAAAAAAAATAATTATTAGGCTATTTTAAAAGTTATAATAAGTAATTTCCAAAGAAACACTCTTTATATACATTATTACAGAGGAATTAAAATGTTATAATTAGACTTAAATATTAAGTTTGCTCACGTTTAAGAACAAAGACACAACAGAGCAATTATTGCCTTACTGTCACTAGCCAGAGCCAGTCGTCTACTGACAAAACAAAAGCCGTGACGCAACAGTGCAAAGAAAACTAAGTCAAAAGAAAGACTATTTATCCAGAGGTACCAGTTTAATTATTTATTGTTTATTCCATACCTAGTTTAAATTATATTTTAGTATTTTATTTACATAATAAATTATAAACAAAAGAAATATCTGATATAGTGTACAGATCTGTATCTTGTTCTTTTATTTTCCTATTGTCCTTTTTGTCATTCAGTAACAAAACAAAACAACACTTCTGATCGTCTGGTTCGGCATTTTATGGTCACCATTTAATTTTTTTTTTTTTAAGTATCAAGTATCAACAAGTCTACAAAGAGGTTAGGCCTAAATATTTTATAATTTTATGAAAGTTTTTATCAGTAAAATTATTTTTTTCTTAAGTTAGATTGAGTTTCAAAAAAGATATTTCTAAGATCCAATACAATATTTACAAGACACAAACTACCATGAATTAATTTCTTTGGAAATTATCTGTAACAGTTTTATATTTTTGAATAAAGAAAATATATCTTTTTGTCTCTACTTCCTTGTTTTGTTAATTGTACATTTTGTCAGCAATTGGAACAACCGGGTGGTGTAATAGGGGCGGGGGAGGGGGAGGGTCTATGACCTTGAGTGTCCCCGGGCCTGGCTCGGGTTGTGTAAGATGGGAGGGGAGGGGAGGGGGAGGGTCTGTAACCTTGAGTGTCCCCGGCCCGGCTGTGAGAGTAATTCATGGTTTTTTGTTTACATTCTACTACCCTTCCTTCCGAGAAAAAGACCCTACAGTTTCAAAAACATTGACTTACAGTATAAAAACATTGAGTTGTGTTGCTAATTAGGGTACTATAATGTCTCTGCTGTCTGCTTATGTTGCCAAATTAGCATTTAACTTTCTTTTCTCTTGATTTAATATAATTTTCTATATATTAAGAGTTCCTTTTCGGGTACCTAATAATTGTGATATTGTTTGACTTGAGTTTATGGATTTTTAATTCTTTTCATTTATTAGCTAAAATCAGTTGTTTTAGGATTTTAATCTCTTGCAATACCTATAACTGTGCCTATAACTGTGTATCTATAACTGTGTATGACATGATACGCAATTTTTACAGTCTTTACTATAACTATACCATAAACAATGTATGTGTGTTATTTATTGTTTTAGAGTTTTATAGTAAATTAGTTTACACAATATCTGTTCTTCAATGAGTTCTCCACTTGTCATGTTGCTTAGTCTATTACTATTTTAGGCCCTATAAAAAATAATTCCTATGTAAAGCTGTAGGCATACTAATGCCAATAATAGATAATTCTTTATTTATGATGATGTAACTAATAATGCTATTGTAAGTGTGAGAGGAGGTTAGGAGGCAGGGAATGAATGATTCATATTGCATGGTGGAAACATAGAATTTTTATTTTCTTCTTGCTTGCAGTCTTGAAGCCACAGGCCCTAAACTTGCGATAAGGTTAATTGATTTGTTTATGATCCATTTATATTAAGTTCCATTACAAACTTGTTGTATAATATAGCTGTTTAGATATTTCAACAGTTATGAAAATGGGAAAGAATGGCTTGATAAAAAAAATTATTTTCTTCTTTCTTGCAGTTGAGGCAACTCCTAAGCTGTAAATAAGTTATGAACATGAAATAATATACATAAATACAATCTTTTTCCATATGTTATTTTCAAGTAATATTATAAACACAGATAGGAGTTAAAAAAAGAAAAAAAATCCGGTAATTAATAATTTTTGGCCCGACCCGATTTTGGCCCGAAACCTGAGGACCAAAATTATTGGCCCGACCCGACCCGACCCGAACCAAAAAAGTCTGACCCGCAGACCCCTACTACAAAGTCTACACCCAATGGTCAAACGTAAGCGTAGTAGTTCTAAACTCAACTTTCAAGTTAAAGCACAATATGTCAAAAAAGTTGTTAAAGGTCTTTGTTGAATTATACTTGCATAGAGAAGTAAAAGTTTGCTAGAGTTACTCTTAATGGCTCACATATTAATTCATTTAATTTTTGTTAACAAATTTTGAAAGGTAATTGAAAAATCAAAGATGATACACAATCGTAATGAATAAAAAATGTAACATACTTCTCCAGTGAGGTCCATCATGACAAACAGTTGTGCTTTGACAAACACAAACAGGTGTTGATAAACCCATCTGATGGACATCCTCTCGTAAAGGAAGGATATTGCGATGCAGCCTCCCAGCTTGGCGTACCACGCTCGGTCATAGCAGAGGGAACACATGCGCTCTGCCAGGTATTCAAATATCGGCAGTCTGCATGCCTGGAACAGAGATCAATCACAGCTACACTTCAAATTTTAATGAATTAATAGAAAAATAAAAGTTTAAGACAGTGGTTAATGATGCAAATAGAACACAAAAGGCACAAAGGGTTGTTGGGTTAACAGGCTTTCCTGAATGAAAGTGTCCATTCTGGCACAAGAAACACAAAACCTTTAAACACTGTAAACAATTGTTAAAATCTTTTTCTGTGAGTGCTGAAGTAATATTCTGATTATTGAGTATTGTATAAATCTGAGGGTAAGGAATGTTTACTTGAACTACAGTAGAGGTCAAGTTGTGCATTTAGTATCAAAAGTTTGGTTTTAAAAGTATCATGACTCAAAAAATATGTTAGTCACACCACTTAGCATCGTTGAAGATAAATTTGTCTACTTAAACATATCCTGGTAGACGCATATATTTTCATGGCGCAGCCATAATTCTCAAAAACAATAAAAATATTTAACTAATCACAATCATTCCCCGTGTTATTGAGAGATCGTGATTGTCAGCAAAATCGTAAACATCTGTGCAATCATGACAAACTCGCCCTATCATGTGATTTCCCAACCATGCATTAATTGATATGACACAGGATAACCTGTGTCCTGAAATTAGGTCAGGATTGACTACCTATTGTTTTATTCTGTCCTGTCAGGATTTCCACAGACCCCTAGTAAATAGTAGTCCATAAATATGATTTTTGTGCCAGAATGAACTATTTCACTTTCTGGTACCTCACAACATAAATTTCTTTGAAAGTAAAATAGAACTCTCCTTTACAATATTATAGGCTTACTGCTAACCTACTTTTATAGTAGAAAATAATATTGTTCTTGTCAACTCAAAAATAATAATCTAGAGCAAAACACACTTGGACAAGATTTACTGGTGGCTACCAACCCTGTCTTTGTTGCCCAGTATGTTGGTGGCCGTCTGCAGTATGAGAGCCAGGGCGGCCTGACCAGGTTTGCACAACTCCTTCTCCTCATGGCCCATGATGATGGCCAGGGCATCTATCAGCACCAAGGCGTCCATGCTGCCCTCCAAACAGACCTGCTTGGCATTCAGTGAGAATGGTCCGGCTTGCTGCACGATGGCGACCATGGTGTAGTGTCTGACCATTGCCATCATTGTCGGCTGCACTGTGGATTTCAAGTCCTTCATGGCCGCCGCAATGAACATCCCTAGAGAAACAAAGTGGATATATAGTGTATATTTAAGCTGTGCTGAGTTTTATAGTTAGGTACTTTGGCAGTTGGAATGACATGAGTACTTAGTATGTTTCAAATGGTGAAATGATAGGAATAGAGGGAATAGGAGGGAAATTTAAAAAGTGGCGAGGAAAGAATTAGAAGGTTTAGAAAGAAAACAAAGAAGGTTGCTGATAGGAAAACTTCTACAGTGTGGGGAAAAGGAGGAGAGAATATAGTGGGAAAACAGATTAGGAAGACCATATAAGAAAACGTAAGAAATCAATAGGAACTTTTCCCAAAAAGAAAAACATCTACAGCAAGGGGAAGAGAGAAATTTGTAAAAAAAAGAAGAGTTAAGTGAGATCACAAAAATAACCAGGAAGAAGTCCACATGTTCTTTCAACTTAAAAGAACATAATTTAATCTACTTCTCAAAGTGTGTGCTACTATTATTGTTCTATTTTCTCTTTTTCAATTTATGATGGAGACATTAAATATAATAATTTACAGAAAGTTGCCAGTAAGTTGAAACAGTGCTATGTTACAGCAGAACACTCTGCCTGTAGCTCAATAGAAGCAAGTTACTTTTTATCCTTAACCTGGTCACAACTTTACCAAGGGTCCTATACTTGTCCAATAGTATGTCTATAAGTACTGACCAGTGAGGCCATTGACATGGGTTTGGCGAGCCAACTTGTCAGAGGATTTGTAAGGAAGTCCCTGGAGCACGTTGATCTTGTTTTCTTGAAAACTGAAAAAGATGTTTCTTGTTAGTTGTTATAAAAAACTGTTGCTTGTTGTAAAAAAAATTTATGGCAGGTTTCTTTATGGTTTTCTAGTTCACAATAGATTAAATTTGAAATTTGATGAAAGCTTCTTTAAAATATGTAGTCGAATCAAAGAGCAATACAAAACAAACACTGGTTGAATGATTTACAGCAGTCTTACCAAAATAACATCTTCTAATCATTCTTCTGAAAATAACTCCTAGGAGGGGTAAAATATAAATTAACAAGTTAAGTTGCAGAAATATTTCATGTTATTTATTAATTGGAGCTATTTTAATTGGTGAGGTTTTTGTGTACTCTATCTATTTCCCCTTCCTTAGAATTATTTAATGCATTCCAAAACATTTTTAAAACAATTCCACTGTAAACCACATAAGTTTCCGATTAACTATTTACTAGAATGTTATAAGGATTTTTCTAAGAATAGCTGTTTTGACATAGGAGTCCACTCTCTAGAAAAAATAACAATTATGCCATTATCACAAAAACTAGGTCATTTTGCAATATCATACATCTTATTTTACCAAAAGATCTTTCATGCGACAAACAATCTACAAATCGTCGGCTGTTGAATTACCTAGGATGGGTGAACAGTTTCTGCATGGTCAGTTTGTCATCATCCAGCTTGATAGAGGCTATGAGATAGCTTCGGATCACTTCCCAACATTGCTTCCTGTAGAAGGGGTCTGTAGCACTGGCCTTCAACGCACTGACTGCAGTTTCTATGATCTGGCACAGAGAAAAGAGCAGCTCCATTTGTTGGCTTTGTTATACTTGTTGTTATCTTGTTACAACTAATTAACCATATATATTAAAATGTGACAGGGTTTTTTTATTTCTCGATTCTGAATCAACCACTTGACGGGTTTTCATGATTTTTGTGTTGGAAGAAAGATAATTTTTAGTTTAGGGTTTCAGTTTTTTAGAAAAAAAGTTTAAAATTTTAAAAAGTTTAGCAGTCAACGCTAACATTTTACACTAGCTTTTGGTATAAAACCATTTGCTCAACGTAACAGCTGTAAACATTAAGCGTGTGTGACACAAATTCAGCATTTGGATAATAATGACATGCAAAGGGTTGACTTATTTATTTATACTACGTGTAATGCTATAGGCCTACTCGATACGTTCCTTTATTAGGTAAGAGGATGACAGACTATTTAAATATACATGGTAAAATACTAGATGTTCTAATTAATTTTTTAAAGCAATCTTTAAAATATTATGTTTGTTATGTGCAATATAATTTGTTTTAACTAACAGCTGGTTGAATATAGCAATATTCTTTAGAACTATCAGGTTAGTTTATTATTCTGTGATTTTGCCATTGATTATAGGAAATAAGTAAGATTCTATAACCACTGATGTATCGAAGCTCTGTCCTCGAGTTTTCGAAGGAAAGTTTACGCAAATTATTTTTCTGTTCGACTGTTTGAGGAAAGTATAGGAAAATAACAATGTTTACATGTTTTAATTCATCTTGGAAGCTTTTTGTTTACAGTAAATGTTTAACCGCTTGAACTTTGCTTGGATTAGAATTGGAAATATTGATATAACTTCAGTTTTAGTTTAACACTCAATTCCCGTACGTAGGACGTGCCAACAGCTCGCAAAGTTAAAGCTATGAATATACAGTAGGCCTACCTTTTCCAGAGGCAGCTCGATCGGCTTGTTGTGATCAGGGAAGTGGACGACAACAGCTGGTCCCGGTGTCTCCCTTACACTGTACTCCAGCCGTTGCGGCTCTATCATCATCTTACGGTTGCGGCCACCAAACTTGCCAAGGATCCTGATACAACAAAATTATAAAATCATATCCTGATGTTGTACACTACTTATAGAGTGATAATTGAAAGCAAAAACTGCCTTTATATATATATATAGAGAGAGAGAGAGAGAGAGAGAGAGAGAGAGAGAGATTTTAAGATAACTTGAGTAATTTTTATCCGATTTTGATGAAATTTGGTTTGAAGGTGTAAGGCGGGATAAACTTGAATGAGTTCGCGATCGAGCATGATCGGACAATGGGAACAGGGTTTTATGGGGGGTTTTATGGGTTAAAAATTGGTTTTTCTCACTTTTGACCCTCAAAACACAAAATTTCCCAATTTTTTTCGAAACCTTCTTAAAGAGCTTTAAAAAACAAACAATTCAGTATATCAAAGTGTTTTTGTACGGTTATTGGTTACGGAGAAAACTAAAAAAATGGTAAATTTAAAATTCCCATGTTATTCTTATGGAGAATATTGTAAAATGTTGTAGTTTGCTTGTTTATGGATATCTTTTGATCAAACTTGGCAAATATATTCATTTTATACTAAGCAATAATTATTTTACTTAAAACACACACTTTATTAGTTTCCTTGTAGCAGCAAACCTAGGTACTTGTTAAACCTAATGTTATTTAAATAGATCAATTGAAAATCAATTCAGCCAAATGGAAATTCGCTTAGACGGCAGGTTTGCTGCGGCGGGGGTATTTAACTCATTCACCATTTGTGTACCTGTTCTTCAGTCATCACATTTGGTCCATACGCCAAACAATTCCTGATGAATAGCTGCGTACAATAATGTTATGATGTTAAAAGTACCAGATAGCACCTCAAACTTGTGGGATATTCTAATCGCCTCACTAGATAACTTACTACAAAATGAAGTTAAGCAATTGCTTAGCCTTCACACTAGCACAGCTGGATGCCAAGTAACCTTCAACACACTTCTGTACAATAATGACTGCGCTAAACTCACTAGGCCTACATCCCACACTGATAAAGGGAGGTTACATTCTGAGTGGCCATCATGTTCTTGAATTAAACATTTTCTGGTTCATATTGATTGGATATCTACTAGTAACTAAATATCAATGGTTAAAGATTAAAAGATTATATTTGCTCAGCTTGTTGACTGACCTGAATGCTACATGGGCCTCCTGGTCTGTGGGATTGCGCAGGGTTCTCCACAATGCCTGCATCAGCTCAGCTCTCACAGGCTGGATGTGCTCATACAGGAAGTCTGGCTGAAGATTGTCCACACACAACTCCAGCGTTCTCAGACCCTGGGTACACACAATACACAATCATTTCATGAAAACTAGGGATGGTCAAGTCTCGAAATTTCGGGAAATTTTCAATCTCGTTACACGAGACGAGATTACTTTTTGGCCGAGATTTTTATCGAGACGAGAATAAAAAAAAAAAAAAAAAAAAATTAAAAACGCCTGCAGAAAGTCAATGCAATACCCGCAATACAGGAGCGTGTTGTAGTTGCGTTTCCTTTTCGAAGGCGTTCTTATTTAATTAATTCTTTTAATGTAAATATTACTTTAATTCTTTTAATGTAAATATTACTTTCATTATTTTAATAATATTACTTTAATAACATTTGAGAAGTTTTGTTAAGTGTAAGCAGAGTGAGGAATGTTTTATTACTATAAAAAAGTCAAAACAAGTAACTATTTTATAAAAATTAATATTGCTTTTATTTTATGATTTATTTTATTTTAGGATAAGTTGAAATCTATCCTAACTGATATCACCATGTTTCCTAATCGTAGGCATTTTTAATAAGTTAGGCGTGATTAATAAAAAAATGTTATGCTGATGTTATTTAATAAAAGATTGTAAATATTCTTGCCTATATCATTATTTTAGTATTTAAACAGTCATCTAACAATGTTACAAAATCAGGTAAAAATTTCGAACGTGCATTTCCCGTTGTGTATGAGAAGAGAAATCTCGTCTCTATCTCGTCTTGAAATTTTATGAGAAATAAAAAATCTCGTCTCGTCTCGAACTAAAAATCCAATCTCGTCCATCCCTAATGAAAACTTGACTAGTTGATAGGGGTCTGCGAACACCTGATATTTTTGAGTCGAGTTTCGGTTGGCGCAAAGGATAAACTTTTGGTTGTGACATATTTTTTTCAAATTTTAGTTTCCTGAGCCCAGCTCTTATTTATGTGAATACAGAAAATTGACCATTTTGCTATGATCGTCTGTGATGTTCTCGATGGTTTTGCAAGGATCGTGGGGGACAATAATGATATCATTGTGACCACAAATGTGCACGATTTTGCTGTAACTTTGGAAGATGTTCACGATCCGAGCAAGATGTTTTAGACTTTGTCGTGATCGCAGAAGATGTTCACAATTTTACCGTGATATTGAGGGAGAACAAGTACAAGATTATTTATAAAACTAATGTATTATTTAAGTTAATATTTTTTAAATCAAGTTTCCAAAGCAACTCAGTTTGGCTCCATCCAGTTTCATTTCATAACTCGAGGGCCAAAATTTGTAACCCGATCTGACACTTGACAGTTTGTACTCGACTCAACACTCAAGTAGTCGCATCTTATTGACTCAACTTGACTGAAAAATCCACTCTAATAATGTTTTGCATAAACAAAAGATATTTCATCTAATTCAAACGATCCACTAATTTCCCCCCCCCTTTTCAGGAATGAGAACTGTAAATCACCTGACTGATGAGTGTGTGTGAGCCATTAAGAGCTGACACTAGAGGATCCATCAGCATGGGAAGGTAAGGAAGCAGAGAGCTCAGTCTCACAGGCACTGTCAGACACAACTCCACAAACAAGTCCTTCATATGCTGCTTGTGCAACCCAGACTGTAGGCTGTTCAAACCTAGAAGATAATATAAATGTTAGTGAAACGCTTTCTGTTAGGCCTACATAGCATAGATGACAGATCCCAATGTATTTATCCTATGCTAGGCCTCGATGTGATGTTATTGCAGGGTACCCTGTAAGTATATATGCTTTACCCTCAGTATATATCGTATTGATCAAGGTTTAGTCAATTCTCTGTGCCTTGCAATCAGGAGAAAATTTCAGGAAGAATGCAAGATAGAATTTCAAGGTATGCGGAGTTGATGGTGATAGACAGAAGGAAAGAAGAGGAAGACCTAGAAGAAGGGGGATATATTATATAGAGGGTATGGAGATGGGTGATAAATAATGACAAGTACTGTAATGACTTAAAAGGACCTAAAAACCTAAAATATATATGATAGTGGTTTAAATACCTTATTCATGCAATCCAATTGTTGTCTCCACAACTAGTTTCAACCTGCTAGGAGGTCATCATCAGGTGAGTACAAGGATGAATTACTTCATATGAAGGTCGTCAGTAACAGTTTTTTTACATTTACACAAACACACGACGAATTGTAAATGTAATGACGAATTTGTGTAGATGTAAAAAAACTGTTACTGACGACCTTCATATGAAGTAATTCATCCTTGTACTCACCTGATGATGACCTCCTAGCAGGTTGAAACTAGTTGTGGAGACAACAATTGGATTGCATGAATAAGGTATTTAAACCACTATCATAGTTATTATTCGCAATCCGGAGGCTACCCACACCATAATGAACTAAAATATATCCTTAGCTGATCTATGAGGATGACTGATCTATAAAGAAGTATATTTCATCCTTTGAATAAGTTACCTTGTAAAAGATTGGGCAAAAGAGGCAAGAATTCCTGGTAGAGCAGATCATGGTTCCCTCCTCCTATGGACCGGAATAAAGCTCTCAGAAGTAGAAAGTAGTTATATGGCTCTTTAGCAGTCATTGCTAACTCCATTGACCTGAAAGTAGGATGACGATTAGATAAAAAAACACAATGAATAATCCAAAAACCAATTAATTCAATCATTAAAAGCTGGGAACCAAAAGAAAGCTTAATTCATTGAACAATAACTAATTTCCCCCTTTTTTTTAGAAAGAAGCAAGAAAAGAAGGCAAGGTCACTGATGTTTTGCAAGTGTAATAATCAAAAGTAAAATCAAATAATTAAAAAAAATAAACAATCCTGTGTTGTCAAAAGTTGTGTTATGAGTTATGAGAAGTTGTATTCACTTCATTTTAAAAACCAATAATAAACACATACATGTTTTGCATAAATGTCCAATAAAATACCTGTTGACAATCTGATGCAAATGTGGACGAAGCATGTGTTCATTTTCCGCAGCAAAGAGTTGAACACTGCCAAAGACGAGTTTAAACAATTTCAAGTAGAGGTTGCTCCTCTCCACATTACCACTTCCCATCTCCTCCATCCGTCCCAACAAGTACTCTACCAGGACTGTGGCGAAGATCGGGGACGTTCCACAGTTTGAGAGGAAGGTGTTGCCGACTATTTGTAACGCAAAGTTGTGAGCAATCCTCTCCACCATGTACTCTATGGTGGTTGAGAAGATCTCCCTGAATGTGTGCGAATCCAGCACTGAAAACTGAAAGCAGAAACATGAATTGCTTAAACGGAGAACTGAGAGTAATAGGCCTAGTTTCTTTTTAATACTCAAAAAGTACGAAATCTAAACTGGAAAGGTTTAATTTGAATTGCTTCAAAACTGTAAAAAACTTGCAATCCTAAATGCCACACTCCAAATTTGTTAGTGATCTGTCGATACTAAAATTTATTAAATTCCCAATAGCCTACCAATAGTACGATGAACAATCGATTCTCGATTCTTGATACCAATACCACTTTTTATAGTTTTACCAAATTGTCTAAATAGTTGGCTACACCAACCCCTGTCTTTATGTCCTTCCATTAAGTATTTTTGAGGTAATGGGGTGTTTTAAAGTAAAGACAATGAAACAATCTAACTAGCCAATTTAGCCAGATCCAACAACAAAAATCAAAAAGAAAATGAAATGTTATTATAGAGGAGTACCAGTTATATTTTCGGTCAAGAAAAACTCAAGGTAATTTCGTGATCATATCCAGTGGTCGTGGAGATATCATCGTCGTCTTAGGTCGTATCGGTTGTATCGGTTGTATCGAGAATCGAATGCCTAGTATTTATTTTAAAAACAAACAAGCTGTAGTCACTGCAACTACATACCACGCCAGAGAAGTGTTCCAAAACCTCCTTCTCCTCCTTGGTGCGCACTGTCTGCTGGGGGGGCAGTCTAGTGCCAGGCTGCTGGACAGCGTTGGGTGTGATGTTGAGAGTGTACACATCTAGAGCCTGCATAGCCCACTTCACCAACCTTATAAACACCTCAGTCTCCTTAGCTGTGAATAGCTTACCTCCCTCCACGGTGATGTTGCCTTGCTGCACAGCAAAAACAAGTTTAGTATTACACACTAAAGCTTAGTGAATCCGGCACTTTAGGATCCATTACATTTAATAACTAAGCATGAACACATCACTTTCAATAATCCATCATCAGTCTAAGACTGATTTTATACACATCTATCTAATTGTGACAATATCTACAGCAAGTAAAACAAGAGGTTGCCTAAGGAAACGAGGGAGCTGGAGCAGCTTTATCTTTGATTATGTTGATTGAAGAACAAAATAACCTAAATGTTACGTTTGTAAAGAGACTAAAAATGTGACATGTACAACTGTCATTGTGTTTAGTATTTACTGTCAAATGAATCTTACAAGAAACCAAAAATCCAATAAATAAATAAGAAATTTACTGGAGCCATACTTAAACAAGCAATGAACCTAAAATTATAATTTGAACCTGTTCCTATCACTTATTTTGAAAAGGAAAATTATATTGCCATTACAAGAATAATCTTAGGCTACAGTTGATGTTTTGGTGTGATCTATAGAGCAGACTTACTTCAAGAAATTTGTGATGTACAAGACAACAAAAAATCAAAGGTTGCTTAGACCCTTAAATTACCGATTTATTTCAGACAAAAAATTAGCATTATAGAATCAAAACTCATTGTAAAAGTTGTTTGTGGACTTTGAAAATTTAGATAAAAGTTTGGTGTAAGCCCTAACAGTTTTTACAAGGCACCAAACTATAAATTGGGCTATTTAGTATAAAAGCTCAGCAACAAAAAATACCTTGAAAGAAGCGCATCTCCAAGTGATTGCTTTAACACCACAGACCAGTGTTTTGACCAAGCTCTTGCAGTCAGTCACTGTGTAGGTAGAGGCTAAGGATGGCGGGAATCCAAACTTGGATTTGCCCGCATCTCTCTCTTCAGGCTTCACATTGGCTGCAACAATACAACTAGGATTAGAATATCACATAAAAATTCTTGTGGCTGATCCAAGGTTTTTTTAACAGGATGAAGTGAAGCTAGTTTTTTCTTAAATTGGCTCTCCGGAAAAAAATGTTTAGGTAAGCTAGCTGAACTGTAGAATCTTAAAGTGGAGGTGTCACCAGAGATTGTGGGTTTTAATATTTCCAGTTTTACATCTTTCACCCCATGGGAGATTGATAGTGTCAAAAAACTTGTTTTAATCACATTTTTTCTCTTCGACCACATCAGGACAAAACACCAGTGTATTGTTTTTGTGTTCTTTTGTTGTGTGTCTATTAGCCCATTGACTCTTTATTTTCTCAGGTTTGTTCCTTTTTAAAAAAAAATCTTACTAGCCAATTGGTTTTCCTTTAAAATGAAATAATTAGTAACCCAATTCAAATTTTGCAGTATATAAATCTAACTGAGAGGGGTCATTGGGATTCGTAGTTCAAAAATAGCGCATATGAAAAGTAAAGTCAAAAGAGTAAATTTGAACTTCAACTACAGTAACATTTCTCATCAACTACCCACTGGTTTCTTATACTAGAATTACAAATCAGTGTTAAATCAGTATTCATCCATCAAAAGTTTACATGATATTATTAGGCTATGTAATTTTTTTTTTTTAATCTACGATAACCAAAAGGACTCACTTTGGAGAAAAGCAAAATGGTGTCCCCTTAAAAGAAAGAAGTCTTTGAAAATAAACTTATTATTTTTCAGTAGGATTTAGGTGAAGCCAATAACTTACCGGTACTTCCCTATTTTGTATTTTACATTTCTTGTCAGTATTTTACTTTTACACAACTTAGCTGTTATAGTTTAGGACATCTCTAGACTAGAGGTAGGATTCATAATTTTTTACTGTTCAGTTGAGAATTATATTGCTTTTTTATGATGCAAATAAACAGTATGTGTAAGTGGGATGAATACTTTAGTCTCGATTCCACTAAACAGTAGCCCTATTGTGTTACCTAATGGCTCAATCAATGCTGGAGGAGAGCCTATCGGAGGTTTGACGTCTGGCTCAGTCTTGACTATGTCCAGGTTAGGCAATGTTGAAGTGGTGGTCGGAGTTTGGGCTGGAGTAGCTGCTTGTTGGGCCTTTCTGTGGAAACATCAATTGTCAATTAAAAACTATTTTGAAGCTTCTACAGTGTGGTTAAAGATAACCCCACGGGCTTGGATAACAAAGAGTGTACAGTACCAACAATACAACTTAATTTGGAAAATTAATCAAAAGATTGTCTAGACAGCAGGTTTTCAAGAAAACTAAGTAAACTAAGTTCTGGACTTGTAACTCAATGTATGCATACTGTCCGCTGCACAGTCGATTTGTAGCCACATGTGTTTTTTGTAAAAATGTGTTTAAGTGTTACTATTCTTCGTTTTGTATTTATTGACTTTTTGACAACCTCTTCGGAGTAATTCTATGTTCATCTTCACCTGAACATGACCCATTTGATGGGTTGAAACCGGTCGCCTTTCATTGGTGACATGATCACATTGATGGATTAAGGTATTTTAACCTTCTAGTATTAAACTAAGGAAACATTGTAATATCCAAATTGTCCTTACGATTTCTGTATGAGAATGGGCAGTTGCAGTTTGGCGATGGTCTTGAACTTGATGACAAACACCTCCAGCATCCTCATGAGCAAGTCCTGACCCGTCCGGACAGAGTCCTGACCTTGACCTGCCTCACTCTCACTCCTCTGTCTGATACAGTCCACCAGGTTCAGCAGCAGCTTGCATGAGATGATTTGGATACTGGTAACATCCACGTGGGTCTTAGTTACAATTAAAATGATACATACAATCGCACAAATCTAGCATTTTGAAACCTAGAACGTTCAGTAATTCTAACATCACGATTTGTAACACCAAATAAGCCTTTCAAGCTCTGTAGACTACATAATGCAGGCTATAAGGGGTACGGAATATTGTATTATTGAAGCCACCATTAACTTGCACAAGTGACTCATGCCATAAAGTTACTTCACTATCACTACACAGGCTAGTAGGTCCAAATGGTCCAACATTACAGGCAGTTGAGACTGCTACAAAAAAAGCTACAAACTCTTTTTTTATCCTTTTCTAGCTTCTCACCCTCATAGTTGCCATTATACGTTCGCCTTATCTCAAACTCTACACCACATTATTACTCTCATCACCAAATTCTGTAGTATTCTTACAACCTACCTGGTAGGCAGTGTCTCGTCGTGTACGTTGTTGGAGAACAGATGCACGGCCTTGGCCAGGTCGGACATGGGCAGATGTTGCCTCACATGATGCACCAAGTCCCCCAGTGTGCTGTAGGCCAGAGGACGGAGGGACTCGTGGGTCGTCCAGCCTCGCCCCAGCAACACCGCCTCGTCAAACAGCTTGTCCATGAACGGCACAAACTCTGTCAACACAATCATTGATTACCAAGTGGTTGACTAGCTTGTATAGCTAGGAAAATTAGAGCCCATGGGCATAATAGATACACAATTAACACCATGTAATATGACATAGATTAATCAAATCAATTTTTTTTATTCCTTTTTGTGATCTGGAATTCTATTCCAGTCTTAGGTAAGAAACTTAGGCGTACCTAAACCAAAAAAGGTAAGTAAACAAACAAAAGAAAATCACAAAAGACTTAAACCGCACAGAGAACTGAATAGTAGCCAAAACAATAAACAAGAAATCCTGGAAGAAAACAAAACTATTAATGATTTCTTTTTTAGGATTTTACTAATACAACTTTCCAGCTTTGGTTATATTTGTGTACTACCTTATTATATTACTTCCTCACCTGAGGAAAGGATTAGTTTTTAGCACCAAAATATTATGACAACTTTGTTTTCTAAAAAATAACACTAATATTTCCTCCAAGTGTAGATCTTCTTCAGACAGTAAATTGAAGAAAATTTAAACATAAATAACTTTTTCCTTAATCAACCATGTAGAGAAGTTCAACAATAGGACTAAATAAAAATAATAATACATACAAAATAACACTATGAAAAATTACCTTCTATTGTGTACCTATACGTCCATAGACTTTATTCACATTCGCGTAAAATGTTCAAAAAATGAAATGGTAACCTATTGCAAAATGGTAAGAGGTTGAACACTCACTGATCCTCAGCTCTGTGGCCAGAATGTGCCTGGCCGCTATCAGCAGTTCCTTCCTGAGATGGGTGACCTCCATGGGACACAGGGTCAGCATGCCCAGTATCCCCTCCACCATCAGCTGTGAGTGTTCTCCCACTATCTGCTGGTAGATCCTGATGATGTACGCCAGGAAAGACAGAGTCTTGATCTGAGCGCCCATAAAATCGACAAACACCTCTTTGTTGAAGTTGGGGTTCGCTCTGCAACCGGTAATTACAATTACAAATTGGTGAATAACTTGTTTGAAATGATAAACTACTGAAGTTATGATGATGAAAGTTTAAACCGTTTAACAAGGGATTAATCGTTAATTTTGTACAGCTATTTTTATCACACTTTCACACTTTTACTACCACACATTTATGAACATGTAAATATTGAAAATCTAAATAATAGACAACTACTTTTTGGTGCACACACACAATACGGACAAGAAATTTGTAGCGAAATGCCTGGTTTTAGGTGAATCTCCCAAATAATTTGCCCATCTCGTTAACATTCACTCATTTACCATTTATGGGCCTCTCTTGGCCCTTATGGGCCAGAAAGGCTTTATGGGCCTCTCCCATCAAGATGTGGCAAATAAATCTGAAATCCCCACGAGGTGCACACCAGAGTAGGTATGGAATGGGATTCAAACCCTCGATCTACACTGTAGGTACTGGAGAAACAACACCTTAAACCTATCAATCAAACCTAACGGTCTACCACACCCTCCTAGTATTAATTGGTTTTGATTTTGTAACTATAAAGCCAATGTTTAAAAATTAACTAAACTTTTATTTAATTCTACTCTATGGCATTAACTTAAAGCAACTTAAAGCATAATTTAGTTACTCCACACGAATAAAAAGAGTTGCTCACACAATTATTAGGAATCAAATTTAAACAAACGATCCTTACTCAAATTTTAACATTTAAATTAAAACAAAAGTAGGCCTACCTGTGATGTTCCGCTGGCTTGAGTGTAATAGTACCAATAATGATTGGTATATAATCAGTGACTTCTTGCTGAACGTTCTGTTTGTAAAGTTGGTACATGAGTACAACTATAATAGGAAGCTCTTGAAGCACTTTGAGTGAAAGAATCCCTTTGGGGATCAATGTACACTGAAAAAAAGTTACATTTAAGACATACGTTTTATTCAAATTTCAATTAGGCCTATAGCTAAATAGTGCACAAAATTTGCAATGACCGTTACTCACATTACCTTAGAACAAAGAGAAGAACAAAGCACAAAGAGTCAGTTAATATTCGTTGCAATACTTGCGGTGATGTTATGTATTTCAATTTAAGGTAGTTAACTGTATGTATAACTGTTAGATATATGCTTGATCATTTTATTTAACTAGTAATCAATCTGAAATGAACTCTATCTTAAACACATTGCCGATAACTTTAAACCATCCAAAGTCAAAACCAGAGTTTACTGTGCCTTAACTTTGAGTGACACATAAATATTTGAAATCACTTACCTTTTCCGTAGCAGATCTTCCATCTGCCAGTTTCTTATCCACTTGAATTGGCACGGCCGTGTAGGTGATAGAAAGTAACCCTTCGATGTTCAGTTCCGAAAGATCTGACACCTTTATAGGATCTTTAGGCTCAAATATTTTGTCCATGTGGCCAGGTAAATTTTGGTAGATTGACCGAACAAACTGTAGGAAGTGATGAATCTATAAAATGTAAAGGCTCATTAGATCAATAGTGATGATATCTGAAAAGACTATGAAAAAGGTTAAAGGTGTTCACTGTTTGTTAGCAAGTCCACTGATTTTGTAATTCACGTCCACGTCTCAAAGACTTGTTTTATACACTCTTCGTACTTAACCTTTTGTTTCATGAAAGTTGACAGTTCTATCATTAAAATGTATTTCTATGGTAAAAATATTAATAGACTAGTTCTGAATTGAACTCAGAAATCCTACTTCTGAAAAATGCTTCATTATTAGAGAATATGTTGATAAGAGAAAAATTAAGAGAGAAGAACTAACATTATTGTCATCAACAGAGTCAAACATTTCTCAACTTACTTCTGGATTGTAAGCTGGTCGGAAATGTTTATGCAGTTCTATGATGATCCGCAGGCACACCAACACATTTTGTTCATTTTCCAGTTCAAGTAGTTTCATACACAAAGTGAGAATCGTCTCCACATGAGGCTTGAGCAGTTCATTGGGTGGCATTCTGTAGATCATTTCCAGTAACAGTTTTCGGACGGCCTAGGAAGTACAGCAAATTATACAAAACAGGACCACTACAATTGAGACCGAGACGTACAGAACTAACAATTAAATTGGCTCCAGCTGTTCCATAAGGATGACGAATCTACTAAGGGAGTATGTTTTATCTATGATACAATGTTATAACCCCTCAGAATTTATGTCACAAAATTTGGCTTATATAAGCTCAACCATACTAGCCTATATTGTTCAGTACCGGTATTGTTATTATTAGACTCTACTACATTAAACTCTGAACATATACTCCTTGCACAAAATGTAGGCAGTTTGAGGGGAGGCGATTCCATCCCCTACACTTCACTCGGAACAACTTTAAAATAACAGTCAAAAGCTGATCAGCTGATAAATACATTACCTAAAGCTAAAAAAGTGGTGGTGGGGACCCATCAAATCTCCCCCTTAAACTACCTAAATGTTTTGAACAAATTATAATACAATCAACATAGTTAACATAAAATAACATTATTTTCTTGATATACTTGGTTGAAAATATTTGACAAATTTCATTAAGTTAACATAAGCTGATTTCATAGAAAAAGATTCCGGTACAGTAACTCCAATAGTTTAAATTAGAGCTTCAAAGCCTGGGGGTGGATTTCGTAGTATGTAACACCTAAAAGATACACATGAGCGTTTTTATGGTGACTAAATTTTTCTCTATAATTTTATTGACAGTGTGCTCTTTGATATTTGGATTTAATAGTGAGTAAAAATAATAGACTGCTAATATTTTAAAGGTTGTGTTTTGACCAGTTAGGTCTTATTATTTCAAAAGGGAAAAGTAAAAAATCCTGTGTAGAGAAGACATTACACACCCTAACGTTAAAGTACCAAGCATAATCAATCATATCTAAAGATTTTTTCTAGTGATCCATTAGGATCATGAACATTGAAGAGTATGGGCCTTACTGAAAAGCAAAAGAATTACAAAACATATAGGCCTAGCCTAGTTTGGAGCTGTCATTGAGTTTACTTGGAATTGTTTTTTTCTTCGTAATACTCAATGTCGTAAATAATGTTTACTCACATGTAGATTATTTTCAGCAACAAAGTGTGGCTTTCCTTTTGAAAGTATATCCAAAAATATCTTCAATGAGTGCTCCAGGAAACTTGGATACTTTGGGGACATGACGATGACCTGCAGACAAAATGTTATGAAAGATTCAATCAGAATTCATAAAACAGATGATTTGTTCTCTATTGATAAGGTTTACTGTTATTCAGTTGAAAGCAGTTTTACTAATTAGCCTAAATAAATTGAGAAAAATATACATAAGTTATAACACTAAAATAAGAACATTTAAATATTAAACTATATTAAGAAAACCAAACAAAAAGCAAAAACATATTGATGACTTGAGTTGCAAAATTGCAACCTGTTAAGTGTTAATCATTACATAATGTTTCATGATAGGCCTATTTTCATTTTCAACGCAAACCAGTGACAATTTAAGGTCACATGTTGCAACCAAGCCCAAAATAAGTACCTAAGCTAAATTTTTCCAATCACCTACAGAAGCAAGAAGCTCTTTGTTCCATAAAAAGTGGTGGAACGGAGCTTATTTTCCAAATGGCCCTCGATATTCAAACTTAACATTTGTTATCATAACTATTTAATTTTTATTGGGCCTGTTTATTGAAGAACGATTCGTTAAGGTTGGTTGGAAAATCTTTATTATCCCTTACAATAGTTTTTGACTGTGTTAAACCTTGAAATTTGCGTAAGGGTCCCCTCATTTTTATTAGTAACCCAATACAATGTTTAACCTAAATACAATAAAAATAAAAACAACATTCGGGGGTGAAGGCCATTGATCAAAGAACACACAGAGAGACAGAGGGTATTAGAGGGCATTTAGAAACTACTACCAATCAAATAGGGTGGGTAAAGTATTTTATACTGATTTTCTAGATGTAGGCCTACCTACCTAATATAAATTAGGACCGAAACAATAATAAATATAAATAGATGATAGGTCTAGGCTATTAAGAAACATGTTTTATTTACCACTGACCGGAAATAGTTACAGGATTTGAAGCACGGCCATTGCATGGGTGGGCGGCGGCCCGGAAGCGGCGACTTTGGTGGGCACCACAAATGTGGTACAACAATTTTAAAAGAGTTATGTTTGATGTACTTAGTGTAGAGGCATGTGAACTACTGGATTTTCGAGACAAGCCGAGCTTAGCCTACAAGCTTGAGCATTATATCAGAAAATCAAGCTCGAGACGAGCTTTCAATTGCAATGTTTTGGCTATTGCAAACCAGGTTTGCAAAAGATCGAATGCTTTTGCCGCAATGGACAAAAATAACATTTAAGTTATGTGGTCTCGGAAGACGATGATGATGTTTTCGAGATAGTGGGGGATGTTGAAAATTTCTTCGGGATCCATGATGATGATGATTACATTTTTGTTGCGGTACTGCAGGAAATATTAAAGATTTTGTTGCGATCACAAAAGACAAGGATTATGTTTCCGCGACCGTGGAAGCCGTCAGAGCGCGACCTTGGATTGTCGTCTTCAGAGGACAATCACTAAACTTCTATTAACGTAGGGTAGCCTATAGGCTATTCAGGATTTTGCCGCGATCACGGAAGACAATGATGATTTTGTGACCACGGGAGGTATTTAGGATTTTGCCTTGAGGACGATGATGATGTCTCCACTTTAGATGATGTCTCAGACAGTGACGCAACCCGCCAAGAGCATTGCTCATTGTGTGTTTGAGGGGGAGGGGACGCCTAACAACATCCCACCCTGGGCGCCAATAAACTAAGCAACAGCCCTGTTTTTAAGAATGATTCATCATAGAATGTTTGAGTGTTCTGATGTCGACTAAATGTTTCAATCATAATATTGATCGTACGGAAATGGGAATCAAAACAAACTAATTAGAATCAGCGATGTAAACTAGCTAGCAATTGTTAAATTAATATTTAAATCTAAATAAGCCATTATAATAAATTAAGCATGTGGTTTTATTATTGACGCTGTTGTATGTCAATGGTGCAAATAGATTTCTCATCCTATTGTAAAGTTTGAACTTTGTTTTGATACGTGTTTCATGTAGAAACAGGTGAGATCGCTTCTGAAAACTAAACTGACTAACTTAGGCCTAACTTCAAAGTTTTTGTAAGCAAAAAATAAAATATATAAATATTATATACCTACCTATAAAAGGGATTTAAAAATCAACTACCGGTTTTTAACAGATCAGCCTATTGTCAAATCAATGTTCATCTCAATAGCTTAGGTTTCTTTCTGATTTTAAAGAAATTATTCCAAATTAACTCAAACTAAACTCACCTCAAAGTTCTCGCTGAGTTCCTGAGCAGCCTGAAGTTTTATTTCTTCTTTGGCACCAGGGTCACCGATCGTAGTGACATAAGATTTGTACGTGTTCATCTGTGTTGTCAAGGGGTCTGTTATACTCCCTTGAGGAAGAGCCATCTTTCAGGTTAAAGCTAGATTGGCTCTCAGTCTGCCCCAAACAATTGTATTACGCTACCTAATCTCTTGCTTACATTATTACATTAAGCTGAAACATAATAATGATTTATTAAGATTGATACGATTTAGATACGATTTATTAGATACAATTTATTAAGTTTAATACTTTTCATTGAAAAACACAAAGAAAATTTAAGTGTCAACACTTTTATCTTCCAACTCCAATATTTACAGGACTGTTGGAACAGAAACAAAGTTAACTTATAGATATTTTATACCCACACTCTAAGTTAAAATATATTAATTTTTCTGTAATGATATTCCTACATGTTACAATAGGACTAGTCATTTAACCAATCTAAGCTTCTTATTTAGGTAAAATTTAAATGTAATTTTTCAATTTGTTTTAGGTACGGTAAGCTATGTGTAAAGGATGACAAGAGTCAGCCAATCATGAATTGAGTTACTATTCCTCTCCCCTGGTTTAACCAATAAATCACCAGCTAAACGGCCTCACCAGTTAACTCCCTAAACGGCCTCACCAGTTAACTCCCTAAACGGCCTCACCAGTTAACTCAATCCTTAACTTAAGATTTTGGGGAAAGTGAATCTGGGGTTAAACTAGAGTTTAAGCCACGATAGAGTTAGGCTAGCCTAAACTAGATCCCCAAAGCAGAACGTTTTCAGTAACGGACTTGGAAAAATCCAAAAATATTTTGCGGGCTTACACGGTCTAAGTTGCATGTAAATGAATCGTGTGTGACAGTTTTAATGAATGTTTGGAAATAAATAAGTTTTCAAACTCTCGTATCCGCTCAAATAGACTAAACTGTTATTTACATTGAATCGCTTAAGTAGGCATAATTCGGTTAATGTAGGTAGCCTATGCGTTACTCACGATCAATGCACCGAATAGGCCTATTGACATCGCGGGTTTTGTTCAATGTAATGTAGGCCTATGACATTTTTTAGTGTCAAGTTACCGTTTGCAGAATGGAGAATTTTCTGCGGAAAAGAAGTTGTAGACTTTATAACTTAACTTAGGTAAACTAAATATAATCCAACCTAACTTTATCTAATCTAATCTAAGTAATCTAACCCAACCTAACCTAACTTTGGTTTAACTAAAAGTCCGCCAATTTTGGCATATTGCTAACCTAAGCATCGGTTAATTAGGGTTAGGTTAGGTTAGGTTAAGTTAGGTTAGGTTAGGTAAGATTAGGTTAGGTTATGTTAGTTGAAATATAGTTAGGTTAGTTTACGTAAGATTAGGTGACGTAGATAAATTAAGTTATGTTAGGTAAGGTTAGGTTAGGTTGGCTACACCTACAACAATAATAACTTAATAACTTAACCTTACCTAACCTAACCTAACCTAGGTTTAACTAAAAATCCGCTATTTTCGACATATTGCTAACCTTAGCATTGGTTAGGTAGGGTTGGGTTAGGTTAGGTTAGGTTAGTTTAGATATAGTTAGGCCTAGGTTAGTTTACGTAAGGTTAGGTTAGGTTATATTTCAAATATTCAGGTGATTTTAGGCAAATTGATTAAAATAATAACTTAATAACTAGCCATACCTTACCTAACCTTAACTAACCTAACCTAGAACCTAACCTAACCTAACCTAACCATTGTTTAACTAATAATCCGCTATTTTCGGCATATTGCTAACCTAAGCATTGGTTAAGTAGGGTTGGGTTAGGTTAAGTTAGGTTAGGTTAAGTAAGGTTAGATTAGATTAGATAAAGTTAGGTTGGATTATATTTAGTTCTGTAGGTCTTAAGTAATAGTAAAAACACATTAAGAGTAAAATACCCATGCAAATTTTTAGCACTTTTCGCAATTTTCAAACGCGATTTTCAGGGTGAAATAGGCGTTTGCCCTAAAAGTGCCAAATGTAAAAAGTGTTCAAAATAGGCCAGATAATGGGGAAAAAACATTTTTTTCAAAATTCGTTAGAAACCGCTAAAGTCAAGAACCTACCGTGAGGGTTTTCAAAACAAAAAGGTGTTTTTCAATGCATTTAAGTTATGGATAGGCTAGTGAGTGTGATTTAGATCGTTTCTGACATCTAAAATCCACCTGATTTTCACCTCGTTTTCTAACTTTCATATCTTCGTTAGGCCTACAGATGTCACATTTAGGAGTATCAGGTAACGGTACTAAAAGTTTAACTTAATCCTTGATCTTGCATTTGAAACAGTTTTCAGGATTAAGTTACATAAAATACTATGACTAGGCCTAAATACTTGATAATTCATGGTGAAATCCTTAAAAAATTACTTGTAGCCTACAAACAAAAACAATAAAATAAACAAAAATGTAGCCTAAATTAAAACAAAAACAATGCAATAATCGATGTACCTATAGAATACTGCTATCGAAATCATGAGTACCGGTAATCGTAATATCGATTAGGCCTGATCGATATTGAAAAGGCTAATCTAGCGATATTTTCATTTGAATGAGTGTAGGACGTTAAGTAAAGTCCAGTCGAGAATGTTAAATAGTCCTTCCTGTTTCAGTTTTCGGCCACCTTAAAACGTGAATTTCTGGGCGAAATTGGCGTTTAACCCAAGAGTGCCATAAGAAAAGGTTCTTAAGCCTAAAGTTGCCTAGCCTACTTTAGGCAAGCCAAATGAACAAAAGTTTGAAGTTTGTAAAAATCGCATACCGCATCGCATAGGTAGGCCTAACCTAAATTAAGGTAGGCCTAACTTAGTTAAATTACATAACTTAATTAACTTAGCCTACCCTTTTCTTTAACACAATTGCTAACTTAGATAACTTAGGTCTTTTAGGCCTAAGTTTACCTAGGTTATTAACTTAAGATAACCTTGATATAAAAAGGGACAGGTAGGCCTAAACTTATAAACACTTAAATAGAGCTTCTAAATAAATGTTTGTCACTATCGTAAAAAAGCAAATAAACATTTTACTTGGTGTTTGACATTTCTGGGGTTAGGCTAAGGGTTGTGGCATAACCTTAATAACTAAAATACAGGCCGTCTTTGACAAGTCATGAAAATAGCCTCCCCCATTTTATATTCCAGCAGAAAAATGGCCAATAGACCTATTATTAACACATAGTTAATGTATGTTATTTTTGTCAAATCAAATAATTATCTAGACATTAAACCTCAAATTACGAGGAAGGCATTGGCTGGGACTGAAATCACTACTTACCGGTTGAACCTAGGCCTATGACTCGAAATAAACATTTCCATAATCAGCCTGCAAGTAATATAAATGCTAACGGTAGATATATAAACGATTATAATAATACACCATTACAACGTCTGTTAGTGAGAATTTCGGTAAGCTTATTCAATATCTGTATTAAAATTAGAAAAATAAACAATTAATAAACTTAAGTTACTTAGACTAGCTCGTTTATCAACATGACAATAAACAGTCTTCACGGCCGTGAAGATAGCTATCACCAGCTGTCATCCCTCCAAAGTTTCCCCCTCCACCAGACATTTGAGTTTACCCCTACGAAGTAGTCAGTGCTTTGCACAAGTAGACCTCCGAATCCCGTACTTTATATTTTCTAAAACTCTAAGCTTTAAGGGTTATAACCTATTTAATTATAAGAATGACTTTGTAATTATTAAAATGCATTAATAAAATAATATAAAAACATAAATATAAGTAATCTTGACTGGTGGTAAAAACTACGCAATAATGTGACCAATAAGAAATATGTATTTACCTTGGACGCTTGGACCTATTTAAACTGAACCAAATTTTATTATTGATTATATAAAGAAACATGATTGCTCTTAATAAGGTATGAAAATTGAAAAAAAGAGTAGGACCTTAGCGAAAAGGGCGCTGAAACCAGAAAAATGGTAAAATAATTTGACAAGATTACTATTTTTCTTATCATGACCCCGATTGATTGCACCAAATTTTATTACTGATTATACTAGTATAGATGATTAATTTTAATAAAAAAATATGATAATTGAAATTAAAGTGCAGGATGTTGGCGAAAATGGCGTCGAAAACCACGAAAACGGTCAAATAATGTGACAAATTCACAAATTCTTCGTACCATGACCTTGATTGATTGCACCATATTTTATTACTGATTGTACAAGTATATATGGTTGCTTTTAATAATAAAATATTATAATTGAAATAAAAGTGTAGGATGTTGGCGTAAAATGGCAACAAAGTCACGAAAATGGTTAAATAATGTTATACATTTAAAAATTTTTCTAACCATGACCCCGAATGATTGCACCAAATTTTATTACTGATTGTACAAGTATATATGATTGCTTTTAATAATAAAATATTATAATTGAAATAAAAGTATAGGATGTTGGCGTAAAATGGCAACAAAGTCACGAAAATGGTTAAATAATGTTATACATTTAAACATTTTTCTAACCATGACCCCGAATGATTGCACCAAATTTTATTACTGATTGTACAAGTATATATGGTTGCTTTTAATAATAAAATATAATAATTGAAATAAAAGTGTAGGATGTTGGCGTAAAATGGCACCAAAACCACGAAAATGGTCAAATAATGTGACACATTCACAAATTATTTTTACCATTACCCCGAATGATTGCACCAAATTTTATTATTGATTGTACTAGTATAGATGATTGCTTTTAATAATAAAATATAATAATTGAAATAAAAGTGTAGGATGTTGGCGTAAAATGGCAACAAAGTCACGAAAATAGTTAAATTAAATGTTATACATTTAAGATTTTTTCTAACCATGACCCCGAATGATTGCACCAAATTTTATTACTGATTGTACAAGTATATATGGTTGCTTTTAATAATAAAATATAATAATTGAAATAAAAGTGTAGGATGTTGGCGTAAAATGGCACCGAAACCACGAAAATGGTCAAATAATGTGACACATTCACAAATTATTTTTACCACTACCCCGAATGATTGCACCAAATTTTATTACTGATTGTACAAGTATATATGGTTGCTTTTAATAATAAAATATAATAATTGAAATAAAAGTGTAGGATGTTGGCGTAAAATGGCACCAAAGTAATGAAAATGGTTAAGAAATGTTATACATTTAAGATTTTTTCTTACAATGACCCCGAATGATTGCACCAAATTTTATTACTGATTGTACAAGTATATATGGTTGCTTTTAATAATAAAATATTATAATTAAAATAAAAGTGTAGGATGTTGGCGTAAAATGGCAACAAATTCACGAAAATGGTTAAATAATGTTATACATTTAAGATTTTTTCTTACCATGACCCAGATTGATTGCACCAAATTTTATTACTGATTATACTAGTATATATGGTTGCTTTTAATAATAAAATATAATAATTGAAATAAAAGTGTAGGATGTTGGCGTAAAATGGCACCAAAGTCACGAATATTGTCAAATAATGTTATACATTTAAGATTTTTTCTTACCATGACCCAGATTGATTGCACCAAATTTTATTACTGATTATACTAGTATATATGGTTGCTTTTAATAATAAAATATAATAATTGAAATAAAAGTGTAGGATGTTGGCGTAAAATGGCATCGAAACCACGAAAATGGTCAAATAATGTGACACATTCACAAATTATTTTTACCACTACCCCGAATGATTGCACCAAATTTTATTATTGATTGTACTAGTATAGATGATTGCTTTTAATAATAAAATATAATAATTGAAATAAAAGTGTAGGATGTTGGCGTAAAATGGCACCGAAACCACGAAAATGGTCAAATAATGTGACACATTCACAAATTATTTTTACCACTACCCCGAATGATTGCACCAAATTTTATTATTGATTGTACTAGTATAGATGATTGCTTTTAATAATAAAATATAATAATTGAAATAAAAGTGTAGGATGTTGGCGTAAAATGGCAACAAATTCACGAAAATAGTTAAATTAAATGTTATACATTTAAGATTTTTTCTAACCATGACCCCGAATGATTGCACCAAATTTTATTACTGATTGTACAAGTATATATGGTTGCTTTTAATAATAAAATATAATAATTGAAATAAAAGTGTAGGATGTTGGCGTAAAATGGCACCGAAACCACGAAAATGGTCAAATAATGTGACACATTCACAAATTATCTTTACCACTACCCCGAATGATTGCACCAAATTTTATTATTGATTGTACTAGTATAGATGATTGCTTTTAATAATAAAATATAATAATTGAAATAAAAGTGTAGGATGTTGGCGTAAAATGGCACCGAAACCACGAAAATGGTCAAATAATGTGACACATTCACAAATTATTTTTACCATTACCCCGAATGATTGCACCAAATTTTATTATTGATTGTACTAGTATAGATGATTGCTTTTAATAATAAAATATAATAATTGAAATAAAAGTGTAGGATGTTGGCGTAAAATGGCATCGAAACCACGAAAATGGTCAAATAATGTGACACATTCACAAATTATTTTTACCACTACCCCGAATGATTGCACCAAATTTTATTATTGATTGTACTAGTATAGATGATTGCTTTTAATAATAAAATATAATAATTGAAATAAAAGTGTAGGATGTTGGCGTAAAATGGCAACAAATTCACGAAAATAGTTAAATTAAATGTTATACATTTAAGATTTTTTCTAACCATGACCCCGAATGATTGCACCAAATTTTATTACTGATTGTACAAGTATATATGGTTGCTTTTAATAATAAAATATAATAATTGAAATAAAAGTGTAGGATGTTGGCGTAAAATGGCACCGAAACCACGAAAATGGTCAAATAATGTGACACATTCACAAATTGTTTTTACCATTACCCCGAATGATTGCACCAAATTTTATTATTGATTGTACTAGTATAGATGATTGCTTTTAATAATAAAATATAATAATTGAAATAAAAGTGTAGGATGTTGGCGTAAAATGGCAACAAAGTCAAGAAAATAGTTAAATTAAATGTTATTCATTTAAGATTTTTTCTAACCATGACCCCGAATGATTGCACCAAATTTTATTACTGATTGTACAAGTATATATGGTTGCTTTTAATAATAAAATATAATAATTGAAATAAAAGTGTAGGATGTTGGCGTAAAATGGCACCAAAGTAATGAAAATGGTTAAGAAATGTTATACATTTAAGATTTTTTCTTACAATGACCCCGAATGATTGCACCAAATTTTATTACTGATTGTACAAGTATATATGGTTGCTTTTAATAATAAAATATTATAATTGAAATAAAAGTTTAGGATGTTGGCGTAAAATGGCAACAAATTCACGAAAATGGTTAAATAATGTTATACATTTAAGATTTTTTCTTACCATGACCCAGATTGATTGCACCAAATTTTATTACTGATTATACTAGTATATATGGTTGCTTTTAATAATAAAATATAATAATTGAAATAAAAGTGTAGGATGTTGGCGTAAAATGGCACCAAAGTCACGAATATTGTCAAATAATGTTATACATTTAAGATTTTTTCTTACCATGACCCAGATTGATTGCACCAAATTTTATTACTGATTATACTAGTATATATGGTTGCTTTTAATAATAAAATATAATAATTGAAATAAAAGTGTAGGATGTTGGCGTAAAATGGCATCGAAACCACGAAAATGGTCAAATAATGTGACACATTCACAAATTATTTTTACCACTACCCCGAATGATTGCACCAAATTTTATTATTGATTGTACTAGTATAGATGATTGCTTTTAATAATAAAATATAATAATTGAAATAAAAGTGTAGGATGTTGGCGTAAAATGGCACCGAAACCACGAAAATGGTCAAATAATGTGACACATTCACAAATTATTTTTACCACTACCCCGAATGATTGCACCAAATTTTATTATTGATTGTACTAGTATAGATGATTGCTTTTAATAATAAAATATAATAATTGAAATAAAAGTGTAGGATGTTGGCGTAAAATGGCACTGAAACCACGAAAATGGTCAAATAATGTGACACATTCACAAATTATTTTTACCATTACCCCGAATGATTGCACCAAATTTTATTATTGTTAATTTTGTTTAAAGAAACTGAATTGATAAATGTGTAATTTGAAAAATGCTTTTGGGCTGTAATGCAGGGTTCTGTTGCATTAAAAAAATATGCAACATGACGCGGTCCCCACCCCGCAGCATATATTTATATATTTTTTTTTTATTAAAAGCAATCATTTATACAAGTATAATCAATAATAAAATTTGGTGCAATCATTCGGGGTAATGGTAAAAATAATTTGTAAATGTGTCGCATTATTTGACCATTTTCGTGGTTTCGGTGCCATTTTACGCCAACATCCTACACTTTTATTTCAATTATAATATTTTATTATTAAAAGCAATCATCTATACTAGTACAATCAATAATAAAATTTGGTGCAATCATTCGGGGTAATGGTAAAAATAATTTGTGAATGTGTCACATTATTTGACCATTTTCGTGGTTTTGTTGCCATTTTACGCCAACATCCTACACTTTTATTTCAATTATAATATTTTATTATTAAAAGCAATCATATATACTTGTACAATCAGTAATAAAATTTGGTGCAATCATTCGGAGTCATTGTAAGAAAAAATCTTAAATGTATAACATTTCTTAACCATTTTCATTACTTTGGTGCCATTTTACGCCAACATCCTACACTTTTATTTCAATTATTATATTTTATCATTAAAAACAACCATATATACTTGTACAATCAGTAATAAAATATGGTGCAATCAATCAAGGTCATGGTAAAAATAATTTGTGAATGTGTCACATTATTTGACCATTTTCGTGGTTTCGGTGCCATTTTACGCCAACATTCTACACTTTTATTTCAATTATTATATTTTATTATTAAAAGCAACCATATATACTAGTATAATCAGTAATAAAATTTGGTGCAATCAATCTGGGTCATGATAAGAAAAAATCTTAAATGTATAACATTATTTGACAATATTCGTGACTTTGGTGCCATTTTACGCCAACATCCTACACTTTTATTTCAATTATTATATTTTATTATTAAAAGCAACCATATATACTAGTATAATCAGTAATAAAATTTGGTGCAATCAATCTGGGTCATGGTAAGAAAAAATCTTAAATGTATAACATTATTTGACCATTTTCGTGGTTTCGGTGCCATTTTACGCCAACATCCTACACTTTTATTTCAATTATTATATTTTATTATTAAAAGCAATTATCTATACTAGTTCAATCAATAATAAAATTTGGTGCAATTATTCGGGGTAATGGTAAAAATAAGTTGTGAATGTGTCACATTATTTGACCATTTTCGTGGTTTCGGTGCCATTTTACGCCAACATTCTACACTTTTATTTCAATTATTATATTTTATTATTAAAAGCAACCATATATACTTGTACAATCAGTAATAAAATTTGGTGCAATCATTCGGGGTCATGGTTAGAAAAATTTTTAAATGTATAACATTATTTAACCATTTTCGTGACTTTGGTGCCATTTTACGCCAACATCCTACACTTTTATTTCAATTATTATATTTTATTATTAAAAGCAACCATATATACTAGTATAATCAGTAATAAAATTTGGTGCAATCAATCTGGGTCATGGTAAGAAAAAATCTTAAATGTATAACATTAGTTAACCATTTTCGTGACTTTGTTGCCATTTTACGCCAACATCCTACATTTTTATTTCAATTATAATATTTTATTATTAAAAGCAACCATATATACTTGTACAATCAGTAATAACATTTGGTGCAATCATTCGGGGTAATGGTAAAAATAATTTGTGAATGTGTCACATTATTTGACCGTTTTCGTGACTTTGGTGCCATTTTACGCCAACATCCTACACTTTTATTTCAATTATTATATTTTATTATTAAAAGCAACCATATATACTAGTATAATCAGTAATAAAATTTGGTGCAATCAATCTGGGTCATGGTAAGAAAAAATCTTAAATGTATAACATTATTTGACCATTTTCGTGACTTTGGTGCCATTTTACGCCAACATCCTACACTTTTATTTCAATTATTATATTTTATTATTAAAAGCAATCATCTATACTTGTACAATCAGTAATAAAATTTGGTGCAATCAATCAAGGTCATGGTAAAAATAATTTGTAAATGTGGCACATTATTTGACCATTTTTGTGGTTTTGGTACCATTTTATGCAAACATCCTACACTTTTATTCCAATAATTATATTTTATTATTAAAAGCAATCATCTGTACAAGTACAATCAGTAATAACATTTGGTGCAATCAATCGGAGTCATGGTAAGAAAAAAATCTTGAATGTGAAATATTATTTTACCATTTGGTAGTTTTCGACACCATTTTCGCCAACATCTTATACTTTTATTCCAATTATTATGTTTTATTATTAAAAGCAGTCTTTATTCCAATTATTATGTTTTATTATTAAAAGCAGTCATTTACACTAGTACAATCAGTAATCTAATTTTGTTCAATCAAACAGGGCCAAGGTAAGAAAATTATGAATGTTGGTCATAGTGTAATGAAATAATAAACCACTGTATTTGTGTTTTTTTAACAGCATTTTTTCCTAAAGATCCTTCACTTTTTAAATTTACATATTTTTTTATAAGAATAATCCTGTATACTTGTACAATGTGTAATAACAGTAGGTGCAATCAATCAGTAGCAAGGTGAGGTTCGTGGTCTATTCTCATAATAACAGACTATCTATCTTGGGGCCAGGGTGACGGAGTGGGGGAGCCGCCGCAACTGCTTGGCGACAGCTGGTGACAGCTATCTTCACGGCCGTACAGTCTTCTTCTTTTCGTTTCGTTTCACGAATTAATGATAGATACGACGATTCTGTTCGAATCGGGAACGGGATTGGAATCGGGATCGGAATGATCGGATTCAAGAACACCCAAAATTCAAAAACAAAAACATGTAGCAAGCTGCAAAATCAATGTAGGGTAACCAATTGAATAAATACCCCCGCCGCAGCAAACCTGCAGACTAAACGAATTTCCATTAACCTGATTAGATTTACACTAAAATGCCTCTATTACCATATTACCAAAGCTGCGTTATTGACCAGCATAGCTGGATAAACTGTGTCAATTTTTAAATATAAATATAAATTATTTACAACAAAAAAATAAATACTTGTATCTTTCAAGGAAACAAATTTGAAAGTTTCAAAAAATAAAATAAAAACTTGGCGGGTGACTACGGAGGTGATGTGCACTCTACCTTGTCTTCAAAATACTCTCACATGGAGTAGTAGGCTCTTTGAAGAAGCCTATCTCGTACACTGAGCTAAAATTATAACTGGAGGTAGCACTGCCATGGCAGAAGTCTGTCAAAAGCGTGTCGCTGATTTTGTTAGGTTGGTATAGCAGTAAGTTTTCTTATCATAGCAACGACATGGCTTCTTATAACTAGGTTGGTATAGCAGTGAGTATTTTTGTCATACTTGAATACTTTTAATACTTTAATAATTTTCTTTGAAATGGCGACCATACAAAGTAGGTATTTTAAGCCAAGTATAATAATAGTTATAGCAATAATGGCTTCTTATGACACCAGACTCACGCAAACATGGCGGCTGGCGACACGCATCTTTGACATTCAGTGCTACCTCCAGTTAGAATTATAGCTCAGTGATCTCGTACAACCCTGGCAAACGTTTTTTTCGGAAGACTGCTGATCTCTGGGGGGAGCTTGTTGAACAACTTCCAAGAAAAGGCAGGAAATCGGCGCTATAAAAATATTACGTTTATTTCCTATTTAAATAGAATTATTTTAACGAGTACTTAGGTTTGCTGCAACAGGGAGGGTAAAATTATTGTTTTTGTAAAATGTTAATAGTTTAGTAAGAAATGAAAGTATTTTCAAAATTCGATCAAAATACTGTATGTCCATAAACAAGCAAACTGCAACAGTTGACTTATTCTCCATAAGAATAACATGGGAATTTTAAATTTACTTTTTTTTTAATTTTCTCTGTAACCATTAGCCGCACAACAACGCTTCAATATACTAAATTATTTGTTTTTTTTAAGGTCTACAAAAGGGTTTGGAAATAAATTTTAAAATTTTGTGTTTTTATAGACAACAATATGAAAAACCAATTTTTACCCCATAAAACCCCATATAAAACCCCGTTCCCATAGTCCGATCATGCTGGTTCGCGAACTTGTTTGAATAAATGTAGGTTTACACGTTTATATCAAATTTAATCAAAATCGGATTATTTTTGCTCGAGTTATCGCGCTAACGGACACACATATATATATATATATATATATATATATATATATATATATATATATGAATTTGAACGGATGGTGTTTTTGGCCTCTTGGGACAAACGAAAAAAAAATCGGTCCCGGGTCCAGGACTTACCATGAGTACTACAGTAATAGCTTATTCCCTATATGGGAAATTCGCTAAAACACAGACTAACCAACACAAGGAGTATTTTAGATTTTAGCTTTTGTTTTTTAGAGGTGCCTTTATTTCTCGATGTTTTAAGTTTGTATCACTAATGCGCATTTCACTACAGGTTGTATCTTCTTCAGATATCTAAAGTCACCTCTACAAAACAAAAGGTTAGGATTTAATTAACTATAAATATTGTGGATGAGGTACAAAACATAGGTGATACGGTGATACGATGCTAAGGTGGCTGAAATAATGACAACCGGTGTTAAGAGTTTGGAATTATGATGGATGTAATAAATATGAATTCTAATAACTTTATCAAGGGGGAGCGAGCTGGCGTAGTGGCTAGAGCGCGGGACTTCGGTCTGTGATGTCCCGGGTTCGATCCCCGCCAAGTCACCAATGGATTTTATCTAAGTGATAATGCCGCAACCCCTAGGTCTAGCCTGAAGTAATATGAAAAACAATCCCAGGCTCGTGCCTAGCGTCCTAGGACAAAAAAAAAAAATAACTTTATCAGAATTCATTCAATTCAAAGTACTGTACTTTAAAATAAAATAACTTGATGTTAAGGGGCGATCCCTATGTGTGTCAACAATTATTTAATCAATGGTATTAGGGAAGAGTATTATTTTTAGTCCTTTTTATCTTTAACTATGGTTGGTACACTGCCAGGAAAAGAAGTACTTTGTCGTCTGGTAGTTAAGACAAGGAGAACTGTCATTTCTTGTTGATGTAACTAAGCAATGAAGATATTGTTTTGAGGTGGTAAGTAATACTAGTAAGAATAAGATTCAAATTGTTATAAATAAATTTAACTAGTATGGTTTTAAAAACATTGTATTTACTAGTATGATTTATGATTCAACTCCGTAAGAAAACTATATGTGATTACAATTAAATTCTGAGCCGGGCAGTTTGATACAATAACACTTCGAGCCAGGATACAAATGATATAATATCATCTTCCTGAACTAAGCCTGTTCTAGTGTTCTCCTTTTTATTCAATTACAAACATGGAATCTGCTTAGGGCTACTATTCTTAACATAAAAGTCCTCTTAAAGTAACATTTTAATGTGATTTTGGTAAGTTAAAGAACATAGGCCTATAAATTAAATTCATCAATAGGCCTAGCTTGTGAATTAATTACTTACTGCCATGGTTCCACAAATCTCAGTTGATTCTTTGCCTCGTGTCGCCTCTTCCACCCTTCTCTGTCTTCTGCCAAGTTGACATTCGCACCCATCGTCCTGATGTCGTCAGGGTAGGGTGTCCACATTCTGGAAAGTCAGGGATAGTCATGGAAAGTCATGGAAAAAAATTATGGTCATTGAAAGTCATGGAAATAGGCAAAAAGTCATGGAAAGTCATGGAAATCCCCAATGATGGATGGATTTCAGGGGACCTTTCAATGCTCTAGTCGGCCGTAACCGTGACTATCGTAGCATTTTTCCGAATTTTTCACAAATGTACGACAATTTCAATTTATACAGTTGTCTTAGTTTGTGGGTTTTGAGTTTGTATTAGTTCATTGTTGTACCTATTGTACTCCATTGTTATCTGTTAATACATATTTCAATATTTTCTGTGAAATAACTTGTCTAGGCAGTATTATTCGTGTGTGTACGGTATATTATAATTTTTGAGTTAAGTTCGTGAGTCATGGAAATCAATGGTTAATGGTCATGGATAGTCATGGAAAGTCAGGGGAATTTATGACAAAATATCTGTGGACACCCTGTGTCGTTCAATACTAAATTCAGTCCATCTCAATTTAGGCCTTCTCAATGGACGTTTACCTGGCTCAAAACTTCATACTAAGTTAGTGATGCGCGATTGAGAGATGTTTGAACAATCGAAATGTTCCTTCTCGAGATGTTCCGCTTATCGATTGTTTCGATAAATTTTCTCCGTAACCATTAGGCACATAATAACGCTTCAATATACCAAATTATTTGTTTTTTTAAGCTCTGTAAAATGGTTTGGAAAGAAATTGTGAAATTTTGTGTTTTTAGGGTCAAAAATGCCCGGAATAACCTATTTTTACCCCATAAACCCCCGTTCCCATGGTCCGATCATGCTGGTTTGCGAACTCGTTCGAATAAATGTAGGTTTACTTGTTTGTACCAAATTTCTTCAAAATCGGATAATTTTTGCTTTAGATACCTATCGTGCTAACGTACACATATGAAATTTAGTATATGAATTTGAATGGGCATGGTGTTTTTGGCCTCTAGGGACCTCAAAACGCAAAAGTAAACCGGTCCCGGGTCTAGGTCTTACCATGATCACTACAGTAATAGCTTATTCCCTATATGGGAAATTTGCTAAAACCATATTTTTACCTGTGGCTAGTTTGTTAGCCAATTCGCTCTTAATAGGCTTAGTTTACTAGCTTGTAACCTACTAGCAGCTAGTGAACTCGTCCCATTCCCTAGAACCCATTAAAGGAGAAAAGAAAATATGTAATAGGCCTAATTACTAGTAGCCTATTCTAAAAGCATTTTACTAATTATTTTGCTTTACTAACACAAATACAAAACTAGGAAGTTAAACTTTAAACAAAATACATTTAAGTAAAACTGGATTTATTTCTATACTTAGGAAGAGACACCAGATTAAAAATGGTCAGAGTGATCCAAGTTCATCACTTTGCTGGCCAGTCAATACAGACTTGTGAAGATCCAGTGGCCGTTACCACAGCTCCTCCAGATCGGTAAGATTTATTTTCTTCTTCTAATAAAACCAATTACATTCTATAAGCATATGTTCATCAAGCTTCTGCGGTTAACTAAGGATTAGGCCTACTCAGCACTTTATTTACTTTCTATCAAATTTTGTGCACATCGAATTTGTAGGCCTACCTCACAAGTCGCCAGGTGGACTAACTTAACTTATCTTACTTCTAACAAAATTTGTAGTTTAACAATATTCATTCAAATGCTTTGTTTATTTGTTGCTTAAAAAAACCGTTTAATAAGCAAAAGTGTTAACAATATAGCACACAATATGTACAATGTGTTACAATGTGTATGTTGCTTAATATTGTGCAGTCAAAAAAACTAGATTGTGATGCATACTACAGTCCTACATGGTGTTGCATTATGCTCCACCACATCGTACTACCTATTATCAACAATATGTAAACATGTAACTTAATTACCAATGAAATAAATCTTTTCAACAATTTTGCTAAATGCATTTCAGGAAAGCACAATGTAAATTTAATGCTTTTAAAACTACACTTAACATGAAGAGCCGTATTTTATTGATAGTTTTTTTTCCTTTTTGCCCTTTATTATCTTTGCTGTCCACGTCGATGATATTTTTACTAGGTAGGAATCAAAGGAGGAAGTAATTTTAAACGTTTTTAGGGAAAGCGGTCCAAACCCACGTGTGATGCGGGTGTGCCACGAGGACCCTTCCCTCCCTTAAATCTTGATATTTAAACTAGAATTTGTTTTAGAATATTTAAATCAGAATATCTATGAATTTCAAGATAATGATTATTAAATGGTGATTATTCATACCCTAACTTAACTCCAATTTGAATCACAAAGCTATTCCCAAAGAGGTTTTAAATTATAATGTATTGCAACTCTTATTCTAACTCTGGTTGTAGGATTAAAAAGTGTTTTTCATATTCTACTCCAGAGTCTTGCTAATTCAAACTAACTGCCTGGACCGTGTTTGGATTACCAAGTCAGCCATAGGCTATTGATTGGCGATTATTCAAAATTTTCTGATTTCACACTAAATTCACATAGCCTGCAATCCTTGACTCTTCTGGTTTCCAAGTTAGTTTTTGAAAACTCATTGAAAAAAATAAATACAGTGTATAATTACCTTTTTCCCCAACAGATGGTTAAAATTTCCTGGACCTTTGGATCAGCCTCTGGTCTAGTCAACTTAAAAGTAATATAGTAAAAAAATCTTGTTTTGCCAGGATCAGTTTACGTTTACACTAAAGATTATTAAAAGTTATTTAGATCTACATAAAAATAACTAATAATTAGTTTTGAATTCTATCTTTATACAAAATCTTTTACAGATTGCTTGTGGCACTATCCCATCATGTTATTGAAGTAAGAGATTTGAACTGCAAAGCGGACAGAACTAATTCATCGGAAATTCTCTTTTCTTTTCCCACTGTAGATCAAGTATGTTACATGCTCCACTGTGTTACAGGTTTGTAAATTACAAATTCCAATACATTTTATTTTCTTTCATAGAAATACTTGAATTAGAACATTGATAGAAAAAATCCTGTGTTTGCACATGATTGACATTGTCCATTTGTGAAAATTGATTTGCTATTCTTAATTGTTGGCTGAATATAAATCGTGAATTATTATTTTTATGTAATTATTTAAAAAATAACTAAAAAAATGGTTTTATTGTAGGGCTCATGTAATTTATATAACTAGTAGACAAACCTTAAAATTTGCTAAATTGAAGCTGTAGACCCTGTACTGAAATTTTCTAGACAGGCATGTGTTACAGGGTATAATTTATATTTATTGCTTTAGAATAGTACCTTTAAAAAAATTGAAAATGAAAATAAAAAGGACTGATGGGGTTTCAAACTTTAGTTACCACCCCCTTCAGGGGTTCTTCTTGATTCCTTCCCGTCAGAAGACAGGGTCAGACTCAAGATTCCAAACCTTTACCTTTTATACCAAGCATCAGTTAGCAAATGATTTTAACAATTCTTTAACCAATATCAACTCAACACCACCAACAATAACCTTATAACAATCAAATTGTAACGCAAATTTGAATTTCATTAATTTGTAGGAAATTATGTCGCTACATTAGAGACTAAGCTGAGCAGGCAAGGTCGGGAAACTGTTTATACAAGAGTGTACGCTAACTGGGACCGAGGTGGGGAGGAGGGGGGAGATCAGCCAATGAGAGCTCGGATAGCCGGCCGAGTCACTCCCAGCAGCAGTCAGACAGGTGGAGATGCGTTGGAGATGATAGAGCTGCCAGTTAAGTTCAACAACACTTCAACCATCGCCTGCTGTCAGGTAATATAGGCTTATTTGATTATATTAGTGTTCAATTTTATAGGCTATATGCTATAGCCTAAATATTGGTTATATAGCGAGCTATACCATGCGAAGTGGGGGCTAGGTTAGGTCAGATTACATGATTGAATTGCTCAAGTAGGCCTACCGGTTTACAAACTGTGTTGTAGTGGTTTTTTCTTTTGTTGTTTTGACTGGGACGGGTGGCGTCGTCCTGTAATCCAGCTACTGGGAGGTCATGAATTGTGGATATTTATAGGGATGCACTGTGGATGCGTTGCTCCCTGGTGTGGATTAACGTCCGCACTAGTGAGTACTACGACTATCCGCAGTATTATCCTGATAATTAGACCAATTCGTAAATTACAAGGAAAAATGTGGTTCGGATTCCACTATAAACTGTAGGTCCCTTAGTTGCCATTAGCTGTATGGGCTATTAATTAACAGCTGTGTCTAAGGAACATGTCGGCCTTAGTCAGTAACAAGACTACAAGATCGCGCCACTCATCCTACACTCATCCTTCACTCATATTTGGGTTAAAATACGCACATAGTGGCGTCCCCATCTTAAATAATTGAATTGAATTGAATTGAATTGAACACTATTGACAATATATTGTGCGTTTTTTTGGATGATCTAACTACTACAAACAATGGCTTTCTCATCCTTAAATGTTATTGCAAGTGTCATTAGATAACAACTTCAAAAATTAGTACCTGGCTCTAGCATTGGCACTGTATAGGATTAAAAACATTTTAACACTTTTGCTGCGGGTGTTGTTTTTTTATTATGTGCCTACCGCGCGCCAGGAGCTAGCGTTGTAAAAGTACAACGCTGTGTCATTGTTAGTAAAAGGGACCAATGTGAGACCAGCAGTCGAGCGATGTACTACCAGCTTTTATCGCTCCCATAGCTAAGAATGCGAGCTTTATTTTAGTGTAGGTTGGTAGTAAAATTTCCTGTAAAATCCCGCCTGGCAATGCTTTTGTCTCGGTTTCGGGGATTTCCTCTAATCGAGCCATATTAAAAAGACTCTCTGGTTATTGATCCAGGCAGTGCTGCTACCTTTGGTCGTTTCAGTGAACTACGTCCACTCTCGAAGTGACGTAGTACACTCACCACTGCTCTTTGGTGATTTGTCTTACTGATATATATTTCAATGCCAATAGCAATCGCTGATTCAGTAGCCCGCCGGGGCCCTGCCCAGGCCTTGCCGCAGTTTAGGAGCACCCGTGTAAATATTTTCAGCAGCGAACGTGTTAAAACCACACACAAATAACAACTAAGGCAACATTTTATGGATTCAGCATAACCATTCTGCTACCCATATAACATTGAAGCAAAATGTAGTGTTCATCTGGTTATATGTTTTTTGGATCATATACACAACTGTATACCTAATTTGGATTTTAAGTTGCAAAATTTATTCCAATTTATTTCGTCAGTTATCCTGGACCATCAACCTTTTGGCTTTTCTCATGGTTAAACCTAGATAATCAGACAAGAACTATGACTGCTCCACTATTCATCTATTGGACATATTCTCACCCTCAGGCCTTATGTAGCATTATCTATCTGCTGCAGGCCACTGGGAACCTGCTGGTGAGCAGCCAGACGTCGCTGTGCCTGTTCCAACTTGTATCCCGAACCCACGACATCTCTCGCCTCCGGTTCCTCGACTTTGAACTGTGGCCGGTCACTCTGGAGCTCAGTTTTTCCCCGGCGTACCTCGCAATAGTCGAGGACGTGGTGGCCGCCATGGACTCTGAGTCATTACATGTCTTCAGGATCAATAAAGGTGATGTTTGACTCTGAGGTGGGATAACAAATTTTATAATTTTATATTTTGAAACTAACTAAGGTGTCCATTTGTTCAGTATATGACTAAAATATGGAAAATTCATACATTTTTAAATTAGACATGTTTATAGTTTTTCATTCAGCATTGGTAGCAAAAGACATCAGCTTTATCACTTTTTCATTAAATAGTACTCTGACAAAAAAAAATGTTGAATGTTTATTCATTGTAACGAGCAGCCTGTGTCACTTTGTGACTTCAAAATCTGTCATATATTTTATATAGTTAATAAGGGTGAAAACTATTATTTCTCATCATATCCCTTTTATTTGCACTGTGTGCCCTATTATTTTCATTGCAAGCGTGATCTCTTTGAGGCATCTTAGTAAAATTACAAATGCTAATGGAACAAACTATGAAAATACAAAATCCCTTCTTTACATTTCAAACAAATAGCGTTACAATATTTGACTTAAACTCCCTAAAACATCAATAAAACATACTATGAACACACAAAATCCTATCACAATACAAAATCTAGCGTAAGTTATTTTCTTCTTTACATTTTATACAAATAGCATTACAATATTTTACTTGAATTTGCTGAAACATCACCAACTAAAGATAACCCATTTTTGTATGGATGTAAACAAAATTGTACTATGGCCGTCTCTCCTGTTTGATGTAAACAAATGTAAACTTGAAACAGATCAGGTGATTGACAACAGAATTCCGCATAAACTCTGAAATTTAAAAAGCCTGTAGGACAAAGGGCTTTCACGAGATATCACCCAAACCCGCAAAAGGTACATCTAGAGGATAAGAGCTTTAAACTGATACCCAATATGCCTATGAAAATAAATATTTAGGGGTCGATTTGCTGCACGCAAAAATCCAAAAAAAATTTTGTAACAATATAGTATACATTATACATTGTTAAATTTTGTTGTTATTTTTTATTAAATTTAGTAAAAACAAGTAGAAATTGTCTTACAGTTAATTTGCAAACATTTATGACTTGCTAAGTTTTTTCTCAAACAAAAACCAGTAATGCTGTGGATACTCAGAGGAGTGGAACATTTATTAATAAGCAAACAGTCTACTTAATTACCAACTACCTAATATCCTGCCAGTTATTCTCAACTAACATATACAACAAATGTTTATCTTTGCCTAATCTTTCTAACAATCTGTATTCCCAGGTGTAACAAGGGCTAGTGATTGGAGTGACAGATCAAGCAATAATTCCGGTTCTCCTTCAATCACACGCAATTCTGGTAGGTCTATGTACTGATATTATTCAAACTAGTATTCTTAAGGATTATTATTTGATTTAATAATCTACAATCATTCTTAGAGAATGTGTAGCCTAATCCAATCAATTCATTGGTATATAAAACCTGTTACTATTGATTTTTGATACAACAAAACTAAGTCAAGGTCTTTTTCTCGGTTATCAAAACTCAAGAATTTCAATTTGATTCAATTTGATACTCAAAGAATCTGGATGATGCCTAGTTATTTAATTTTGTTTACGGTTACACATTATTGCACTTGCGATTAATTAATTTTTTTATGTAAGAAAAAACTTTAATCTCACTTGGTTTGGATTTTCTTTTAAAACGTGATCGCAAATGGTTGCGGTATTTGTAAACAACATATGTAAAAATATCATTGACAGCTAGGAAAAATAACCTTGACCCAAACTAACAGCTGTTCGTTATTTCATAGATGACGTATGTGATAAACATTAGGGAATAACTTGAGAAACTGGGGAAAATACGCACAAAATTGGGTTTTTGAACCGTCCGTCATTTTATTTACAAAGTAGTGATGCGATATTTTAATGGCTAAAGACACTCTCGCTAATCCCGTGAATACATAAAAATTATTTGAATTTTGATAGGTACTCTCGTTTTTTCAGGAGAAGGCCGCGTAAAATGCCTTCTGGGCCGTGACAGACAGACAGAAATTGAGATAAGACTTGTTTCGGCTTCTTTAATGTAAAAAACGTAAAAACAACCAAAAAATATGTAATTCTGAGCAATGTACGGTCAAAACTCTAATTTTATTTATATAGATGGACTGCACATGTACGGGATTTGAGCCTGTGCATTTTTTACCTTGCTGTCAGTATTACACCTAAGCCAACTGAGCTACCATGCCATTGTAAATCAAACGCTGGTGAAAATCTTCAATTTGACAATACTAATTTAATGTTCGGTAGTTTTATTCACTTAAGAACTGTTAAAAAAAAAAACATAATCTTAACAGGAAAAAAGTATTGCACTGTTCGTGTTTGGGTGGTAACAAGTTTTGAGCTCCATTAAATTGTACAATCAGTGCACAGGTTCCCTCATGTTATCTATGTCACCTTGTATCTGGTTTTGCTAGTTTTGTATAACATCTGTGCAAATAATGATCGACCATTGATTATTGACCACATATGTGTAATTTCAGCAAGAAAGACAGCCGCCAAGAAGACAGAGGCGGATGAAGGGCCAATTGATCTAGATGCGTTGACCAAAGACACAACGTCTCCCAACTACATCCTCTACCCCCTGATAGAGGCTAGTCGTAGCGATAGTCACCTTACACCCTTCAAGTCTACACACTCCGGTCTCATGGGCGTGGCCGTGAAGGAAATGCCTACGAATGAGGTCAGTAGACGGTTTTACGGGCAACGTTGCAATATTTAGAAAAGAAAATCTAAAATTTAGAAAAGAATTGTGTTTATATACCTACTCTTAAAACGTCAAACATGAATTGTATTACCGGAGCCCTAGGCATTATTTTACTATAGCCGTTTTTTACTTATTTGTTAATAAACATTTCAAATTATGATTGAACAGAAGTTTTCCAACTTTTTGGAGTATTTATAACCCGATGTTCACAGGTGAGAAAATATTCAAAACTCAATAAGATTACCTAACACACAAACCCATTAACACGTTGGATGCTGATGACGGGAATTCCCGCAATTGCTTAACATTGAAATAAATGCAACTTTTATGTTCAAACATGTCGACAGCACAAATAGTGTTAATAACAATTTTCAAATACTTTCAAGTTCCCTTTCAAGTTTTAAATACCGGTACTTTTAAATAATTTAGTTAGGCCTATCTAAAATTATCCTTTATCCTATTATTCAACTTAAATAGTAGCCTATGTTACTGTAGACTGTCAATTTATTTTTAATCCTCCAGTGGTGTTAGTAATTTAATCTATTAACCCTTTCAGTGCTAGGCCAATTATTCATATTTTGTAACACTTTTTTGTTTGCCATTTAATTCCATTACCTGTTGTTAAATAAAATATTTTTAACAGTATTTTTGTCACTATTTTGTAATTAGGCTAATTTTGAATAATAAGACAATAATAAATATATAACAATGAAAAAAGTCTGGGTATTTGTAGTAGACATTAAATAAAACTGTGTTGTAAATTTCCAAGTTTTCTTATAAATTGTAATGTTCTGATAGCATTGTTTGAAAGAAACCAAAATCTCATAAAATCGAAAGACATCTAGTCTACAATGTAATATTGAATTTAACCTTGATTTAGTTTTATAAGGTTATTATAATATAGCCATTTTAGGAAAAATAGTTTGTTGCAGCAAAGCCTCAGTAACACAATTATTTATGATCTCTGTTGTGGTTCAACTAAAAAATATCATCTAAATAGTCCGTGAGTAACTAGTGCTGCTCCCTAGTAACACATTGAACAACCTGCTGTAGCGCTATCTGTTTGCAATCATTGGCGTCAGCTTAAATACCGGTTTTTGACTCCTCAGTCTCCAAGCACAGATAGTCGAGAAGGCTAGGGCGTGTGTCACTTGGCCAATGGCATTCGTTTGCTCGGGTTCAATTCCCGTCCTATGTGGCAAATAATTGGTGACCTGTGTGTTTGTAGCGATATACTACAACCACTCGGGCATAGTGAGGTGTTCATAATCCTTGGTTTAGACATACACTTTGAATCATCGGATTGGGCAAATCTTTTAGCTAAGTGGTTGTTAGTGTATCCTATGTTTTGCTACTTTTTGTTAAAATAACCTTCCTCTCTATATCCCTTAGAGATTTTAGTAAACAAGGATATATTGTTGCATAGCACTCAAAGGGTTAATTTGTGTGTCTTGTGTTTCCAGCCATGGGCAGAACAGATGACAACGATGGTAGAAAGCTTACTACAACTTCACGTGTCCAGAGAACAGCTTCACTGTCTTAATCTGCGTCCCTTGTACTATACATCCACCTCCGCTACTGTCACTCACTCAGGTATGCTACAACACACAAAGCAATCACAACATTTAGATATATTCATCTCTTCAAGGGAGCTTCTTCAAAAGGAAGTGAAAGAAGAAGGCTGTCAGTGACACGATTGGTAGCGTGACGGGAGTGTCCAATAAAATCAGACTTATAATATGTAAATATAAAATTATCCTTTGGGCTTCTGTCTATTTGAGATAAGAATTCTCACTGTCTGTGTAGATGATAAAAGTTAATTATACAGTCGCAAAAGTTATTTGTACACTTCTTAATCAACTTTTAAGATGAATACATATTTTTAGGAAGAGTTGATTGAGGGGTGGGGGGGAGGGGTTGCAAAAGTTTCAGGCAGTACTGTAGACTCAGTCAGCTATCTAACAATATATTCTTGAGAAATTGCCTTTCCCTGTTTAGAACTTTTTTTTAATTTTATTTATATAATTCTGCCATTGTGAAAAATGATGGTTCTATAAAATGGTGAGATTTTATAGTTTTGTATTGTTTATTAAATATTATATATAATGTCAAAAGTTGAACATTTTTCATAGATAGAATTGTTTCAGAATGTCCAAGGCTACGATCGTCAAGCTATTCTCGCCTGGCAGCCATAAATGTTGTGGTAGCAACTCATCAGGAAGCTTACGTATATAGCTTCCCTGTTGAAAATGGAGAAACGGTAACAAGAAAATATATTATTATGCATGCTTTCCCTAAATATGGAAGTTCGAACACAATGTTTGTAAATTATCAGACAGTTAAAATAATCTCTTGTTTTTTTATCTTTGAAAGTTCCCTAAGAAGTTAAAACAAAACTGGAAAGTAAGAGAAATCATTTTTAGCTCACTAGGAGTACTCATCAAAAGTTTGGTAATTCTATGACATGCTAATATACAAGTTGAACGGTAAGGAGTCAATAGTGAATTCAATATTGAAGTTCTGATTAAATTGGTACCATACTTCCTTAGTAATGTCTAATGACCAAAGACAGTTTGATTCAGTAATGAACCATAATATTTAGCTGGCTTTTCTCAGGATTGAACCGGCTACCTCCTGATCACTAGATGAGTTCTATTATTCACTTATCTACGTGACTAGTAGCTAAGTGTCAGTGGGTGTATAGCAATTGATGTAAATAAAATCATGCAAATAGGAAACAAAATGTATTTGTTTGTGATTTTGTTTCTGTGACTATTCATGTACGTATGTACAGCTTGAATAAAGATTATTTGATTTGATTAGTTATCACAATGATTTCAGTAAAGAAAAGTTTTGTTGCCATTTTTGACAAATTTTGATATTTTGTATGTAGGTAAATCCTGGCTACCTGATCTCCGTGTTCAGTTTTACTAGCCCAGTGATGCACATAGTCCTAGAACCCTACGTGCTGCACGCACTCACACAGACTACACTGGAGTCTTACACCTTGCGCACAACACACGCAATCTATAAGGTACTCCTGCTTCAGAACCAAAGTAAGATACACAAAGAATAAAAACTAAGAACTTGTTTAAAATCAACTAGGAAGGTTTTTCATTGAATAGTTTTCAAAAGTATGGTTATTAGTCTTAGTCTTAGACCTATAATAGCTACTAGTGGCTTATAGGGACATAAGTCCATAAAAAGCTCAATAATATAACACAAATTATTCTAATATTCAAACAAACTAAGAAATATATTATCTGTGTGTCAGAATAGATATCCCTGTACGCCATATCTTTTGTGTAAAACAAAGTTTGTTGTGTATTCAGGTATTGGTGTAGTTATATATGTGTCCGTGAACGCGATAACTTGAATAATTTTTGTTTGATTTTAATGAAATTCGGTGTAAGGTGTAAGACGGGATAAACTTGGACGAGTTTGCAAACCAGTATGATTGGACCATAGGATCTGGGTTTTACGGGGTAAAAATTGGTTTTTCTTATTTTTGCCCCTCAAAACACAAAATTTCCCAAATTCTTTATAGACCTTTTTAAAGAGCTTAAAAAAACAAATGATTCAGATATCAAAGTGGTTTTGTACAGTTTATTAGTTACGGAGAAAATTAAAAAAATTGTAATTTTAAAATTCCCATGTTATTCCTATGGAGAGAATATTGAAAATGTTGTAGTTTTCTTGTTTATGGATATATTTTCATAAAACTTGACATATTTCTTTTGTATACTGATCTATTAATATTTCACCAAAAATACAGTTTATTAGTTTCCCTGTAGCAGCAAACCTAGGTACTCATTAAACCTGATGTTATTTAAATAGATTTAATTGAAAATCAATTCAGGCAAATGGAAATTTGCTTAGACGGCAGGTTTGCTGCGGCGGGGGTATGTTTTGTCTAAATTGTCACTTCCAATTCTTTATATGTGTAATCTTGTATGCTTTGGTAGCGATCTGGTCGAGTAATAGAGTATGGGACTTCAGTCCCTGAGATCCTGTGTTGAAATCCTGCCAATGGATTTTATCTAAGTGATAATGCCGCATATCCTGGGTCTAGCCTGAAGTAATGTGAAAAAAGATCCCCGAACTAAGAACGAGCGGAGCGTCCCAGGAAAAAAAATCTTATACTATTTAAGACTGACAGTTTTGAAAATATTTTAAATGTATGATAATTGTAATACATTTATTTTTGTGAAATAATTATTTTTTCCCTCTGTAGAAGTTGGGTGAGGTCAGTATCGAAGACCCGGTGTGTCTTGTTGGCCTTCGACCATTCATCGGACCAGTAGACCTGCTACTGAGTGACAGTCATGTTGTGATACTGGCCTCGTGTGAGGGACAGACAGCGTGGACTGTGTACTCACTGCGGCTGCCACCTGCGGAGACATTGGTAGCGGACATGACAGCTCTTGCCACTAGTCATCAGGTATAAGGGTTTAAACCTTTTCAGTTGGCTAACCTAGTAGTGTATGGGCTGCTTCAGTTTTCCTGTGCATTTTTTCTCAGTTTATTCATTGTTTTGCCAGTGTGCATAGTTTCTGAGTTTCAGTGCTTCACCGTAGGCCATTAAAAAGTTGGGTTAAAAGTAGCAATGTACTTTATCACTCACTCAATTACTCACTTTCTATAGGCAATAAAATGGTTAAGTTACCTCATGTTTCATAAATTAATTAAAATTTGTAGTAATATGATGGTTTCAAAACTCAAGATGGGTTTGTTTACAAGTCTACAAAACATTAAGCACATTCAATCCTTTTCAACACGGCGAAGATTTGTTATAGTAGCCACAAAATACATAACGCATAAGTAAGAAAAACATAAAAATATTGAAGGTAGCATATAGCCCTAATAAACCTGAAGTATTGTGTTGATGGAGGTTGAGTTTCTGATAAAAAAAAGCTCATTATTATTAACATAATGTACAATGTGTTCTAAATTTAACTACTACAGTTGAAATTTAATTTAATTAGTTAAATTTAATTTTCAGTTGATTCTGGATGTATATTTTTCAGTACAGTGTCTCTGGGACTTACAGACATCTGTTGAGTGAAGCTCACGCAATTCTTTACACTGATCAGTTCCTCTCCACGTCAGTATTGGCTGTCCGCAAACCGTTGTCTGCTTCCTACAAGACATCCTGTCAACGGCTGGCTGACCACTACCTCATGTGAGTGATCGTTTGCTAATTACTTGTTTAGCAGGATTACAAAACACTTTAAAGTGCGGTCATTAATTATAACCAGTGGTCGTGCAGTGGTCAAAAACATGTAATGTACACATATTGACTATTGAATACTGAAGTAAACATCCCATCTCTATGGACCAGCTGTCGCCATTTTTTAAAATTAACAAAACCTGTAGTTGTGTGAGCCAGTCACCAAATGAGTGTATTAAATTCTATTTTCTAACTTATTTTTGTTGCTGACTAAGTTGATGGGTGAACAGTTGCTATACCGGTAGCTAATAATAAGTCATTCCATAAGTTACACTTGATAAAAAAAAAACATCGTGTATTCGACAGAAATTAGTCATTTAGATCATCGCAATCTGTTGGTGGCTCACATCAACTACGATGAATTTAATTTAAAAAAAAAACTGGTGACAACTTTAACATGGAGATGGAATCATAGACTAGGCAACACAAGTAGACTCCTCATCCCATTGTAAATTTTGAAGCTTGTTTTTCGTGTCTAGTTCATGTACGTCCACACTGATCGCTGGGGTAGACAACAGTTTGTTTCTGTTATTTTAGGGTTATTTTCATGATTTGTGCTTTATTATTTGGTTATATAACTAGGAGACTAGTTATTGCTTATGATTACATCATTTTATTTGGTTAAATTAGGTTTTAAATGACTGAAATAACAAGAAACAATTTGTAAACAAAACATAACCTCTACAGTTGGACGTACAGAACTAACAATAAAATTGGCTTCAGCTGTTCCATAGGGATGACAAATCTACTAAGGGAGTATGATTTATCTATGATGGAATGTAAAGGTACGGGCTTCTCTATTTTCACCCCACGCTGTAAATAAAACGTGTGTTTGTAATTTCATCCATTTGTTTTGATTTTTTGTTTATATTCCATTGTTATTTCGTCACCAGCATGGCAACCCTAAAAGCCCATGTTATTTTTTTCAAATTTCAAATCCATTTTTTGTTTTATATTTGAACCTATTTTAATTTTTAAAGGGATCCTGCACTACAGGAAAATATCTTTTTAACGGTAAGCATAGATTTTCCATGTGATGCACACGAGCTGGGAAAAAGTTTTTAGAGTAACATGCTTGCTTATTAATATATAGATTGGTAGAATAAAGACAAGTGTAGTCTTGGAACGTTTACTTTCTAAACACCTGAAACCACTTGAATGACGTTTGAGACGCCAGAATGAATTCTTTTACTTTTAAATTGTCACACAAGGTTGTTTGTATACTACATTGTATGCAATGTGACTGTGTATTCGTATTTTCTTCAGGAGTCCCCATGATGCTGACTGGGAGCTAGGCACAGCCCTGAGTGTGGAGGCTGAAGATAACCCTGCCACCCTGCTAGCAAGGCTGCAAGCCACCCAGGTGGAGGCTAAACAGAAGGGAGTGGAGGTAACTGAGGTTTTCAGTTTTCATGTATTTTGCAATTTTTTTTTCATTCACATATTTTTTAAAGACTGATCATGGTCACAGATGTAATGTAGTTGTCCCGAAGTAGTATCATCTTCAGATTATTCAAAATAAGATCCAAAGCTTATTTCAGAACACAAGATCCAAGATTTTTAGTTCTTAAGGTCCAAAGGATGTTTCATTAGATTCAAAGATCAGACGATCGAAAAATATGATGATTACCAGAAGTAAACATGTACATTGTGAAGTTAACTTATGAGATACTAGCTGTACCCGCGGGCTTTGCCCTGTTTAACTTTATAAGTGAGCTCGTTCGCATGGCTCAATTACGTCCTGGTTGAAGTTCGTTCACTACGCTCACTCACTTTTAGGTTGGAGCTCGATCGCTACGCTCACTTGCCTTCAGGTTAGCTCGATCGCTACGCTAACTCGCCTCCAGGTTGAAGTTCGTTCGCTACGCTCACTCACCTTTTGGTTGCAAATTAGCTGTTGTCATAAATGTAAAAGAAATAATAGTGCTGAACCCTGTTGGTAATCCTTGTAACTTTAATGCTATTGAACATCATAGAACAGAACCAACTTGTTTAATTGAAACGGGTGTTAAGATTAATCAATTCCATTTTAATATGAGTACTCATAAGGTTAACATGGGAAACTCCAGAGCCACTGGGGCGGAGCCCGAGAGTCCGATCAGAATAAAAACAGCTTAGTTTTCCTATTTAATGCCTAAATAATCAGTGTACCAAATTTCAGCCTTCTAGGTAAATGGGAAGTAAGAGAATTAGTGATGAGTGAGTGAGTGAGTGAGTCAGTCAGTCAGTGAGGGCTTTGCCTTTTATATATATGAGATATACTGTCGTTTGGATCTTGTAAACCAAGTTAGGGTCAGAAGATAAAAAATATATGATTATGATATATGAGCAGAAAATACAAAAGTAGGAATAGGCTAATTGAGTCTCTCAGGTTAAAGGCGTTTGAATACCCACCATCAGCCACGTTCCTTGCGATTTCTTTCTTTCTGTGATGCAACTTATCACAAGATCCAACTTGTGAAATTCTCACCCCAATTAACTCCTGGGCTTGCTTATCAAAAGAGCTCCCCAAACTCTCGGTGTTATTGCCTTCTCTTCTTTTGGAAGGAGGCATCTTCCACTACCTTCCAGCTTTTGTTTGACCCCATAAAAAAAGTAGCTGCTTGTCCTCTCATAAGTTTATCTACCACCTAATTTTGAGGCTTTAACTTTGTATTCCGTTAAAACAACTAACTTTAATTTTAAATCTATCATCACAAAAAAAAAGTGACAAAGTAAAAATTCCACTAATTGTAAAATATAAGATAAAGCCGTACCCGTCCACTCATTCACAGTTCTTTGTTTGCACTATAACCAGAACTTGAGGCGTTGAAGAGAGATATGCAGGTATGAGTATATGACAAACTGTGTGGTATACAGGTATGTTACATGCTAAAACAATAAGAAAATATAATCAAGTTACTCCTAAAGCCTGGCACATACAAAAAAGGGGTTGTCTCGATGCACCTGTTATGGTGCACAGTCATACCACATGAAAATAGCACACTCAGTACTTGATCTAACATATGGTCACATAACCCAGGAGGTCGGATAACTGAAAATCAGAAATTCAAGACTACTGTATTTCAATCTTTTTAATTATTTTAACATGCACATTGTTTCTTCAACACAATTTTTAAATTTAAACTTCTAATCGTCAGTTAAATTCCACATTGTACAGTAACTAATTTCCTCATTCCAGGTGGACATAGGCCCAGGGCTGGCTCACTACCTGAGGCACTGCTTAGCCTCGGCCAAGGGTGGCGTGTGGGTCCCCCCCTCCACCTTGGACACTCTACCTCCTCATCTATTGGCTGACCTGCTGCTACAAGCACCCTCCCTGCGCGAGGCTACAACTCAGAGGGTCATCGACAGTCTTAGCAACCAGTTTAAGATCAGGTATTTGAGAAGTTAGTTTGTATGGAAGTGTGTTTATATAGCTAGACCTAAAAGGTGTGATTTTCATCAATCTCTTTATGGTTACTGAACCGCAGTATCTAAAAAAATATGATTTTACTCCTTCTCCTCAAAATGTCTTATAGAAACCTTGTATTTGCCTTTTAAAGACATGAGTAATGCACATCCACAGATATTATAGTTTTTCCTTTTCCTTGCCAATCTCTCAGATATTTCTAGTTGGGTTCTATTTCAAGAGAGTCCAAATGTATTGGGACTATCCTATACTTAATGTTAAAAAAAATAATTTATACTGTCAGAAAATCAAACGCAATACAGGTTAAATTGATTTCAAACTGTCTCTTACAGTAACTCCCCCACTGAGTGTTTAGCCCTTGTTACACTCCAAGTTGAGAGAGGTCTCCCAGAAGATGCCAAAAATCTGCTCAACAACTTTAAAAACGATGTACAGTTGACAGAAGCTCTTTTACAAAACTGGAACCTGCTATTGGATAGTATGCGGCAGGTATGATTAATATTGTTCATCATTTACTATACTTGGGATTCCAACAATATATATGTAAATTGAAGTAATGGTAAATTTGTTAATATTGAACTTGTTGCTATTGTAGTGAGTTGGAAAGATTTTTTATGTTTGTATTGTTTGTAATGGTAAGAGTTTTCTATGTGATTGTTTTACAAATTCAATTGTTAAAATAGGTGGGTTTTCTTTAATAAAATAGTTTTTAACTGTTGTATGGATCCTTGAGACAGTCATCAGAGATAAACTTGCTAAATATCTTAGAGCACAATTAACTTATATTAATCTTTTGTTAATAAGATTAAACTTTATTTACATTTTAATAATAGCTATCCCCCATTCACTATTGATTGATTGATTGATTCTGTAGGGGCGGACCTTGTCCTATTGCACGTCAGCCACTGATGGGCTTTTTGCGCTCCCCACATGGTACTTCAGAGTCCGTCAAACCTGAGTTGCTTAATGAACTCAAGCATCCTGTCAATGAGCTCCTCCTGAGGAAGGTGTCTGCCCCTTGTCATTACACCAAGAGTACTGTCCCTTACCTCATTCAGAGCTGTGCAGTCGTAGAGTAGGTGATCAGCAGTCTCCTCTGATTGCCCACATTTCCTACACGCAGTGTCACCATTGTGGATCCTCAAGCGATGCAGGTGTAATTTCAGAAAGCCATGTCCAGTGACCATTCCTGTGATCTGTCTGAGTCGCCTCCTGTCCAAGCGTAGGGCATTGGAGGCGACCGTCTGGGAAGGAGAGAAGAGGGTGAGCTTACTTACCCTATGGTGCTGAAGCCTAACCCATCTTTTCCTGTGTTCCTCCTGAGCCCATGCCATGACTGAGTGACATGCATGCCCACGAGAGATTCCACAGAAAGGCTGTGGTCCCACGAAGTCTGAGGCTGACGCGACATTTGCTAGCCTGTCAGCCACCTCATTCCCTTCTATCCCTGAGTGCCCAGGAACCCAACAGAGCGTTACCTTGTTGCGCCTGCCCAGGTCACATACCGCAGAAAGGCAGTCCCAGACCACCTTAGAATTAAATTCATAGGAATCAAGCGCTTTGAGCGCAGCCTGGCTGTCTGTGAAAATGGAAATGTTAATGTCCCTGAAGCCTAGCCTCAGGTTTTCCCTAGCACATACCATAATCGCAGTCATTTCGGCCTGGAACACAGTTGGGTGAGTGCCCATAGGAAGACAAATGTCCACCCCGTTCTGCACTCCATGAATTCCAGCCCCAGTCCCACTTCTTACCTTAGAACCATCAGTATACCATTCAAGGTCGCCTTGTGGAAGAGGATTCCCACCGGACATCCACTCATCCCTGGACGGAAGGAGGACAGTGAATGGTCTGGCGAAGAAGAATCGAGTCGGCATGTGATCCGAGGGCATGTCCATTACCTCCCCTCTTACCTGCTGAGTGATCCGAGAGTGACCTCGGGATCCTCCAACATCCAACCAAAGGTTTTCACACTGGAGTCTGTAGGCAGTCCTCCTCGCAGTGACCTTGACATGCAGGTCAATCGGAGTGAGGTTGAGAATTCAGTCCAGTGAGGCTCCCGGACAGCTGCTCATTGCGCCCGTGATGATGAGACAGGCGAGTCTTTGGACGGCAGCCAGATCTCTCACCGCCGACACTGAGTCCATCTTGGGCCACCACACGAGTGAGCCGTATGTCATGGCGGGCCTTACCACGGAGACAAATAGCCAGTGCATGAGCGCCGGCTTGAGCCCCCAGGTTCCTCCCACCATGCGTCTGCAGGCCATGAGTGACCACTTACCTCGATCAATGACCTTTTGGAGTTGTGGCCCCCATTGCAGCTTTCGGTCCAATACCACCCCCAGGTACTTTACCTGATTCTGCATTTCAAGCACTGTGTCTTGTAGTCTCAGAGGTCCAATGCCATTTAGATCGCGCCTCCTCGTGAAGGGGATAACCGCCACTTTGGAGGGGTTGATAGAAAGGCCTACCTCAGTGCACCATTGTCCAACTGACCTCAAGGCTGTGTTCATGAGGTCGGAGACCGTGTTGTTGAATTTACCCATAACTAGTATCACAATGTCGTCCGCGTATCCTTGAACGAATACACCACTATCACTGAGAGATCTAATTAAGTCGTCCACAACAAGGTTCCAGAGAAGAGGAGAGAGTACACCCCCCTGTGGACACCCTCGTGTGGTCCTGGCCTCCAGAACCTCATTGTGAAGAGAGAGTCTTACCTTCCTCCTCTTAAGTAGAGACTCTACCCACCTGCACACCACCTCATGGAATCCACGAGCTCTGGCAGCATTGATTACAGCCTGGGTTTCAGTGTTGTCAAAGGCGCCCTGGATGTCAAGGAACGCCCCAAGGGCAATCTCCTTGAACTCAAACGCCTTGTCGATTCTGCTTACCAGGTGATGTAGGGCAGAGTCACAGGATCTTCCTGGGGTATAGGCGTGCTGGTTTCTATGTAGGGGATTGACTCTGAGGACTGTGTCCCCCACATACCTCAGCACCAGTTTCTCTAAGGTCTTCAACAGGAATGAGGACAGAGAGATGGGACGGAAGGACTTGGGATCCGTGTAACTTGCCTTACCAGGTTTTGGGATGAAAACCACCCTTGAGATGCTCCAGGCCGGGGGAATGTGTCCCAGGGCCAAGCTGGCCCTGAACAACTTACTCATTGCCGGAAGTAATATATCGATACCTTGCTGGAGACAGACAGGTCTTACCTCGTCAGGTCCAGGTGATTTGTATGGGATGAGTGACCCTATGGCCCATCTCACACGACTGTGTGTCACAATGTGGCACGCAACCCTCCACCGAGTGTTGTTTGCCCTTGCGACAGCTTGTTCCTCATCCTCCGGCACCAATGGCTCGCTTGGGATGATGCAGCCAGGGAAGTGGGTGGCCACCATGAGCTTTAGCACTTCCTTAGGTTCATACAGCATATCTCCCCCAGGCTCCTTGAGGGGGCCTAGCTTGGAGGAGCTGTCCTTTGTTAGGACAGTGTATATCCTAGATGTATCTCTAACACTTTCTAGCTTGCTACAGAAATGTTTCCAGGAGAGCCTTTTGGCCCTCCTTACAGCCATGTTATATTGGGTTAGCAATCTATGATAGCCATCCCAATTATTTGTCCTCTTCGCCCACCTGAACTGAGACCTGACTCTCTTTTTCAGGTTGGTAAGCTCTGTGGTCCACCAACTCACTTTACCCTGCTTCCTCACCGTTAGCGGGCAGCTCTCGTCAAAGGACGTGACAATGGCCTCGCCTAAGCTCCCAGAGGCAAGGTCTAGCGTGTTGGTGTCTCTGACCCAAGGGAACTGTGTGTCAAAGCATTCAATGCGCTCTTTAAGAGTTGATCTGTACATATCCCAATCTGCCTTTCTGGGATTCCTGAACTCAATCTTTTCCAAGGAAAAGTTACCAATGTTGAACATGATATGTCTGTGGTCAGAGAGGGAAGGTTCCTGGGATACCCTCCAATCCAGAATTCTGTTACTGATCCCCACGTTGGTTATAGTAAGATCTATTACAGATTCCCCAACCCTGCTATGAAAAGTTGGTTCTGAACCGACATTAGCAATCATTAGACCATTAGAGGCTAAGTATTCGAGAAGTGCCTTACCTCTTGCGTTATTGTCCCTACAACCCCAAGCAGTGTTGTGGGAGTTGGAGTCGCAGCCCAGCACGAGGTCGACGCCGGTCCTGGCCGAGTGCTCGACCAGCTTCCTAACTTCCTCTTGCGGAGGCTGCGTGGGCTCATCTTGCGGCATGTATGCTGAAGCAAGTAGTAGACGCCGTCCGGACTCCCTGCATTTGGTCTCTACCGTTGTGATGTCTCTGGAACAAAATTCCAGAACCGGCACACAAATGGTGTCATAGCTAGTCCAAATGCAGGTTCTAGGATTCCGGACCTGAGCCGAGAATACCTGGCCCCTAGAGACCCCCATTCCCGTTATATTGCCGTCTCTAACCCAGGGTTCCTGGATAAGGGCAAAGTCAAAAGCCCCACCCGCAGTACTCGCACAGAGTACCGCAGTGGCAGCTTTACTGTGCTGTAGGTTCGCCTGCAGTATTCGGATCGTCATCAGGAGCACCTGAAAGAACCTTGAGTTGAACCCTTGTTATACCCAAGAAAATCCTCCAGCCCCTGTCCCTCAGGAACTTGGCACTCCCGCAGTCAATTGCCAGAACCAGAGTTTGGTGTTCCGCCTCTCGCTTGCAACTGACCACTCTCCAGTCTCTGGTTGACAGTCCAGGATTCAGCTTCTGGACAAACTCAAAGATTTCTTTAGGATCTTTCCTGGCCAGGATCCAGTCGGTATGGAGAAGGACCTTGGTTGTACGCAGGAGATCTTTATGATCCCCCACAATCACACTCGGCCCCCCCACGCCCACCGGACCCAGACCAACAGCCACCTCCTTGAGCCAATCTCTGGTCTCCTCGTTTCCGCACAAGACTGCGAGGGCACCTTTGTCCTTGTAGGTTTTCAGGATCTGCTGAGGAGTGGCGGCCATAATAACCATCTCAAACAGTTTCTCCTGTAACAGGCAAAATTGTTCATCAGTGAACCTATCGTCAGGATAATTCTCCGGAACAATCGCCATCTTCCAGCCCGAGAGTTGGTCCTTGAAGGTCAAGTCCTTGCTGGCATCGCCCTCTGCAGCGCTCCTTGGCGGCGGGGGTGGGACATCCCACCTTCTCGGCCGCTTTGGAGTCTGCTGAGTCTGATGCTGCTGCGGTGGACCTGAAACTCTGCGCATAGGAGAAATACCAGAGCCCTCTCCTCCAGCAGGACTGGGAGTTTCAGCCTGCCTTTTCCTCTTGGGCTTGTTGACAAACCCTTTGGATTTTTTGTACTCAGCTTTTGAAAGCCAAGTACCCTCAGCCTCCTTCCTTGCCCTGACCTGTGTCCTCCACACACTAGGGGGTAAAGATGGCCGTTGTCTTCTCTCCTGTTCTGGAACAGTTGCACATGCCTGGGTCTCTACGCACAGATCCGGTGTTGCCACCTCAGAGGTAGAGCCCAGGGTTAGATTTGAATCCCCATTCACTATATTCAAGGCCGTAAGCTATCACAGCTAAAATTTGTTCATACAAAGAATACAAGGCAATCTACAAGGAAAAGCATTCAAATAACAATCATCGATCATTGTGATGGCAATCATCACATAGTCCTAGCCTTAGTACCTCAGCTACATAACGGATGCTCTGTCATTTTTTATTTTAACTTCACATTACCTGCTAAAAGAAATTAAATATTTAAGTAGTGTGTTTGTTGGTTTTGTTGTATATTCATGAGTGAGGTGATTGCTTTTGCTTATAGTATAACAGGTTTCTATTTTTATCATTTCAGGGTTCGTCTGAAAAGAATTCCATGTATACTTTTTCCGATGTTGGGGTGGTATTAATGGAATCCAAACCTCAAATCCTTGCTTCTATCCTGGCTTCATTAGTCACTGAAAAACAGGCAATGGATCTCCAGCATGTTTTACAGGTAATTATGTTATTTGGTTTGGTGTTGGTTTGATTTACATAATTAAATACCAAACAATCAAAATAAAATAATTTGCTCAGACATTTTTAATTTTTAGTTTATGGACCATTTGTAGTTACATCACTTTTTCATGGTCCAAAGCTGGGCCCTCCTGTCCTTGATCATTAACAAAAAATATGGCTTTTAAACCGAATGTTTTACTAATTTTAGGCTATAAACTATTTTATTTTACACTATTCTTTCACTCATCTTTGCCTCAAAATTCTCTCCACTCCTTATGTCTGTATTAGCGTTACATGAGTCTAATTGAATTCAGCCCTAAACTAAATTTTAAAAAGTGTAGAGGTAAGATACCTTCTGAAGCTTTGTCACTTTCCAAGACCTGCTATTTATTTGGGGCTATTTAAAATTCATAAGTGGCTGGGTCCAGTATAACACATTGCTCAGAAGAGAAGTGTTGAAATATACATAACAAAGCTGTAAATTACTCCCAAACCATTCCTAGACTGAAACATTAAAAAATACATAGCAAAATTGTAAATTGTTAATTTCATGAAAAAGTTGACCTTAAGCTTAACATTGGCATTTCCAGATTTTCCTATCATACCTACCTTCTAGAGTAGGAGTGGCTGGAACAGCTGCTAGTGGAGTCTTACAAGGGTTCCTAGAACAGGTTCTGGTCAATACAGAGAAGCTGGATGTGACTTATCCACCTACACGAGAAGCATTACAGGTAAATTGTTATTGACTAGCTCGTTGTTTAATGAACTGTCCTCTCTAAAGAAATAATTTTATCACCACTGTCTGACAACTCAAAAACAAATTTGGAAGTCTGACTCATGATATGAAGCCAACGTTTCCCATGTTTTTAACATTTCTGGTTTTCTGTTGTGTTTCCCGTGGTTGCCCAATGTGTGTATCATTATTTTCATGCTCTATGATTCTTTGCATTTGATGGCAGAGTCTCATTTCAGATTCAGAATCATTGTGAAACTTGGTTTTACTGATCAGTGTTGGAAAAGGTCTGTAATGATCATCAAAACATCTGGCATCCAACTCTAAGCAAAGAATTGATTAATTATATATAGTTTAGGTTAACTAGGCCTACAATGACCTTAGAACAAAAACATGATTTTGCCGAATCCATCAGACAATCATTTCCCCTTTAATTGATTGGTTGTAGTGAAAGGAGAGAAATTGCTTTAAAAGGACTCAAATTTCACAGTTTAAGCTTTTTCTACCCCTCTTTAAACTGTCTAGTGTCTAGCTATAAATGCACTTTTTACTGAGATTGATATTAATAAATTACTAAAATGTCACGTCTAGATATTGATGCGCTCCTACTTAAGCGATCTCAGAGTGAACAATAAAGGAAACGGCAGCAACCCTTTCCCTGGGAAGAGACCTCATTTTGTACACCAGCTGCCTCCGTTCTCAACACCTGAGCACCCGAGTCTTATCAAGCTAGAGGTATGCTATCATGAATACACCATTTGCTGTTTCTACAATACTTCTCTTGGAACTCAAAATAAACGGTATCAGCAGTATCACACATACATTCTCCCATTAGCTTGTCAACAACCTTTTCATGGGTAAGTGATGAGAATAACTATGATATTTAATTGGTAAATGAACAAAAACAGCATTAACTTTTGAACTGTAACTTTTACGGGATTGGTCACACTATTTTGTTTAGAATTGGAATCGTTAGAGCCATTTTCAAGAAAATTCTATTTGTCCGTTATTTTATGGGTTTTTATGGGGAAGTCACCATTAAAAATAAAAATTTCTAAAAAAATGAAATTATACTTGGATATACCATGGATTAGTACCAACATACTAAATTTCATCAAAATCAGACTAAGCAGGTGTGGTCTGTAGCTATGTACACATCCACACATACAGACAGACAGACACACACACATGGACAGACATCACCTCGAAAACCACTTTTTTAGGTTCAGGTGGACCCAAAACGAAAATACCCAACTCAAAACTCAAACTGGATAATTTTTACAAAAACAATACTTTCTCTAGTGGGAGGAAGTAAAATAGCTTTTGTTTTAAACTACAGCTGATTTTTATGACAGCTGTTTCATTTCAGTACATGTTTAACTACAAAACGGTCCACGAGAGTCTGCAGTTGAGGGAGGTGCCTATTTAACAAGTGACTTTGAAGGAGTCAATGAGGAAGTTGCGAAATCTAATAAATAATACCAGCTGATTTGAAAATATTGTTGAGTATATTTTAATTAGTATTGAAAATTAGTGAACGGGCGATGTTGCAACGTCGCGCTAGTCCAGTCATGCTATTGGCTGCCGCCAACTGCAGACTCCCTAGGCCCCTAGTGTAGAATAAGTTTAAGCAGTGTTTAACTTGCAGACTAAATAGGCTTAGCTTATCTCCAATAAATGTTAAGAAGATATCCATTGTCTCCATTTAAAATCCAAATTGTGCTACTCTTATTAGGTCATTGACTTTTAGCTTTGACAATGCTTTTAGTCTATGCACTTTTTCCTTAAATTGTTTTTAAACATTATCAAAAACATAGACAAGATATACTTAATTTGAAGGAGTTATGGGCAAATTCCAAAATGTTTGGTTGGTTCCAATTCTGATGCTTCTTGATTTTGGACGAAATTCTTATTCCAGACTTAATTACTACACATAAAATAAAAAATGTTTGCTATTAACGTGAAGATTAATTGAATTATTCATAGAATAATACTGCAAAGTGCAAAGATAACAATTTATTCAAAAATAGACATAATATTAACTAGTTATTCAAATAATTTTGAATCTGTATGTAAGAATGTTCCAAGATTGGAAATTTAATATTTCATATTTTTGACATAATTGATATAGTTTTAGTGATGGAAAATTTCCATCACAGGCAAGTTTAGTTGATTGAAATTTAGCAACGTCACTGCAATCGTGGGAGATAACCACAGTGGAATCAGTATCAAATTCAAGGTCACAAAGTATTGAGAATTGTCAACTCCTCGACACAACCAGCGTTAAAGACTAGAAGGAATCGCTCCATTTTTTTTCATCAGTTTGAAGGTGTTAACATAACATTCTGATTCTGTGTTTGTAGTGGCTGATCTGCAGTGGATGGCTCAGCACAGAATGTCTAACTGAGCTGACTCAGTATGTCAAGGAGGTGCTGCCATCCTGCCTGAGTCTGCTGGTGTTGGCTCAGCCATCAGAAGGTCTTCCTCTGCTCATACAGAAGTGTCCTCAGGCCATCCCTCAGTATACAAAGGTACAAAACTATACTCATTTTCATGTTCACTTTGCAGTATATAGTGTGCATAAGCCATGTCTTAGCTTCAGCAACTACTAGCCGTCCCAAAACCATCAGACCCTACATAATGTTCCTTTAAATTTTCTACATTTTTTACCACTATATTTTTTCCATACCAAAATAAAAATTCAAGTGTCGCCATAATTATCTATAATAATTCAAAGTTAATAAATAAGTAAAATGTACTGAAGGCTTTCTTGACTTTTGAGAGGAAAGTTAAACATAATTTACTCGACCCCCATGATAATTACAATAATATGATGTTTCCAGTAATGTTAATAGCTTGACTATTTCCCATAAGAAGACCTATATTGCACAGTGAACGTGGAATTGAGTATCTATATATTAATTACGTGAGCCGATTCTTTGCGTCAAAATTGTGGGCGACTGGGATGTCATAGAACGGCAGGAGAGGGCTTAAAATAAAGGTCTCTATCAGGTGACGGCGGGAAAAATAATGGAATCCCAAAAATTTCAACCAAAATTTAGATATTACGTAAAATGTTTTCCATAAGAATAGCATTGGAAGCCATACACGGCTGATTTATGTTAATATTAGATTAAATATAGTTTTAATATAGTTGATCGCGCTATATTTCCAAGCCAGTATTCAATACACACAGTTGGTTTATTTCTTAGCCAGTTAACTCTATAATGCAATGTATACTATATTAAAACCAGGGATAACGTTATCTATAATTAAAACTTTTGAAAACAAAAACCAAACCAAAGATTTTTGTGTCAACTGTCAATATTGGCTTTGACAACTGGGAAATGGAACCCTAAAACCATAAAATATTACTAAATGTGGCTAATAAAACTGTTAAAATTTTGTATAGTACTTTATTTACTTCCCTTATGTTTCATCACAATCAAATGGTTGTTTGGTAACGCATAAAGGACATAGGATTTCATATATATAGATAACAACAACAAAAGCAAGGAGAGTGCCTTTTTTAGACAAAAATATCGTGTACAGCATACCCATCTTGACAAATAAATAATTTGATTCTTAGTTTGTTTAAATATTAAAATAAGTTGTTTCACATTTCGAGCTTTTTAGGGACTTGTGTTCCTACACACCCCTAGTAGAATTTTATTAGGCCTTTGCTTGTCACATAAATTTGTTTAGGCCTTCGCCCCAAAGCTCTAATAAGAAGTTGTGATACTGTATTGATTTATTTTAACTAAGAAAAGCCATAATAATTCTAGTTTATGATTAACTAGGTAATTTAAAAAATGAAACTGTAAATTCAAACAAATATAAATACAGGAAAGAAAACAAAACCAGGAAATTATAGCATAGCACCTAACTGTCAAACTCAAATTTTTTTTCAAACTCAAACTCAAATCTATCTGTTAACACATATTGTATAAAGGTTTTGGCATATAAATAAATAGAACAAAATGAAAATATAATACTGAAATTAAGACGTAAAAATAATGCTAAAATGTGTTGAGTATTTTTTTTAAATTGGACTAAATTGTGTAAACGTAAACAAATATATACTTCAAATGATTATATTTTTGAATAGCATAATCTATCATCCTCAAACAATAGACTACGGTATTCACAGACTGCTTGGGTTTCCATATTTGAGTGAAACCAAGTTTTTTCATTTTCTGTTGTAGGATCGTTTGAAAAATGAAGCAGAATTAAAGGAAATGATTTCTTTGTTAGAGCAGAAGGTAGAGGAAGATTCATCAGGAAGTTACGAGCCAATACTCAAAGGTAAACCACATTGTTAATAAAGCTATTTTGGAAAAACTATACCTAGTGTTATTGTATCAACAGTAGGCCTACCCTGTGGCGATACTTAAGTTATTTTACATTTCACATTGTATAAATGTTGACCAAGGGTTATGTTTGTAATGAAATGTAAAATATTTAACATTACCGGTACTTGCATTCTATTGTCTTTCTGGTATATTTGTGATGAAATGTAAAACGTTTAACATGATTCATATTCTATGGTGAAATCTTTGCCTACTTAAATGTGTGTTTCATGCAAGGGTACGTTAGAGTGGCCTGATTTAGGTGAAATGTTTGTGTTTAGTAAACAAATAAATAAATGTTACAGAAGTGCTGGAGTACTTGAGCAACAATGTAGCGCCCGATGTATTATGCAGGGTGTTACCTGGTGGAAGCCTAGGAAGACAGAAGTACAAGAGCCACCTAGCGACGTGTCAGAAAATAGCTCATGCCAATCACATACGCTCTGTCATCATCGCTACGGCACGACAACTCATCGCTTCCTTAAATCTCTAATTACTCATGCGTAATTTAAAAATAGTATACATATTTGTATGCTTGAATACAACAACAAGGAACTGGCAGCGTAGCTGAGTGGTTTATAGTGCTCGCCTAACAATCGAAAGGCCACTGGTTCGATCCTGAGAAAAGTGAGTAGCTTTTTGATGGTTTGAAACTGGACCCAGCTGTTCCTGATTATTGGGCATTAAATAAATGATCTTGGCTACTGATACAGCTGAACTTAGTCAGTAACAAGGCTTATCTCACTCCATTCTACACTCATCCTTCACTCATATTTGGTTTGAAAATAAAATATGCATGTAGGAGGTGTACCCATCTCAATTAATTGATAATGATAGCAATTGAGTCTAGTTACCTGGGAGAAGTTAGGTTTATAGACATTTAGATATTGGTATCATTTAGTTGCCTATTTTTCTGCGTTTAATGTTTTAAATTTTTGAATTTGTTTTCTGAAGTTACCTAACTATTAATAAAGCAGCTATTTTGGCACTAAAATGTAGAAAAGCTTATTCATGTACTACTTTATTTTCTTATATTCCATATTTTAGTACAAAATACAAAATTGTAAGCTTGTAAAAAAAACAGACAAGGATGAGTTTGCCTGAAAAGAAGTTGGCAACACTATCACTATCTATAAATACTCCCTAGATCTGTGGGTGTAGTGTTGAAAAAATTAGTCACATATACCATCTAAAATGTTTGTACTACATATTATTTAAGTTTTGGATGTAATGCTATTACAAAAAATATTTGTAGGTAAATATTTAAATGCAAAAGTTAATTTAAACTAGAATATTTACTATATTTTCCCCGGGACCATTTTGTAGCTTGGCCAATTTAGTGTTGATTGCACTTTTCACCAATATTGTTATATTTTGTGATATTTTGAAAGTTGATGCCTTAAATAGTTGTTTATGTATTTCACGTGTTTTGAATTTATAAGTGTTTGGATTAAAATCATGTATTTATTACTCAAGTAAAATTTACTACTCACCATAACACTGCTAAATGTGAACACAGTTTGATTGCACAAAATGCCATTGTTGTAAATGTGTCGGCATTGACTATTTGTTAGCTATTATGTCAGGTGACATAGAAGGTAAAAGAAGCCAAATAAAATAATAAAAACATCAATTGTTGTAGTTTGGTTGTTTTTCGACATATTTCAATATTTTCAATCAAATGTGGCAAAGTGATTTATTTCATACTAAGCTATTAAAATTTCATAAAAATAACTTTATTACCTTCCCTGTAACAACAAACCAAAGTACTTGTTAAACCTAATGTTATTTCAATAAAAAATGAATCTAACATGTCAATAAATCATTTCCTAAAAAAGACTAAATATTTTAGTAAAATAAAAATCCAATAAGGTAAATAGAAAATTTGCTTTATTATCCAGGTTTGCTGCAGCGGGAGTATTTTAAGGAGTATAACTAAACTGGGTTACCTTACCTGGATTTTAATAGACATTTCTCATCAATTTACTCTCCAAAGAAGTTCTATACTAGGAGAAAATTTTAGGTTTATGTGTGATGTTTGTGTCTATAAGCCACTGTATTCTTATTTTCAGGTAAATTAGCTGAAGTTTGGCTCTTTTGCTCTTTCCAAAAATTCCTAAATCATTCATAGGTTATCTTCATTGACTGTCTTATTAGGCCTATAGTTTAAGAGAAAGTAGTGTACAAATTGAGTATTACAATAGTAAACTAGTCATTAATTTGTATTGATTTTTCTGAAATTTTAAGATAGTCTATATTAATATTGTTGGAGATTTATTCAATTTTATAACTGTTTGTTACAATAATCACCAGTTAATTTTTTTGTTGTTACTCTTTTTTAAATACCTACAATAAATATGATTTTTCTAATATCCTGTTTTCACTCCTCCAAACTCCAATGTACATGGTGAGTTTTAAATGAGTTCCCCCTCCTACTTTTTTCTACATTTCATCAACTCCGGACCACATCAGATCATTGTAGAGTAGTAAGTACTTCATTTTTACCAGGTAAACATTTTTGGCCGCCATCTTAGATCCGCCATAATAGATACAAAGTTTTTTTTTCAAATATAAAGGTAGGGTTGTGACCCATCGTTTCAAACTAGATTTTTACGCTGAATACAATGCTGCAATTCGTTTAAAAAATATCTTGATCCATTTTAAAGTTATGTGAACTTTTTATAACTTTATTTTTAGCCCAATTTAAATATTGTGCAGTTACAAACTAAGGCCATAATCTCAAAATAGTGCTAGATAAGTATACACCACCTATTATTGTCGACCTATTTTCACTTGGTAAGGACGGATGTATTTATTTCGCCCGCGATCTTGGATCCACCATTTTGTAATGTGATAAATTATTTTAAATATGAAGGTGGTGTTGTGACCCATCATTTTAACTACTTTTTTATGCTGAACTCAATGCCACAATCCGTTTTTGTTATCAAGCTTTCTGCATTAAATATTACAATTGATTCATTTAAAATTTCAATATTTTTAAAACCAAATATGAAAATGTAAAACGGATTGTGGCATTGAGTTTAGCATAAAAAAGTAATTAAAAATGATAGGTCAAAACCACTAACCCTGGGTCAAAACACCACCTTTATATTTGAAATAATTTATCACATTTCAATATGGCGGATCCAAGATGGCGGCTGAAAAAGGACGCGTTGCAGAAAGTCAACAGTCCCGGAAGGTCAAATAATTTATACCTGTGCCGCTAGGTCAAAAACTACAATGTTTGCAGTGTCTGTAGATCAAAAATCCCAGTAAGTCAAATAGTACACTCCGAGCTAAAAACGTGGTCTATGTTAAAGCAATTGACTTATTGGGAATTTGACCTAATGCAACAGCAGTTTTAATATAACGAAATAAGATAAAATATAAGTTCAGTTTCGCTGAGTCAACAGTGCCGGAAGGTCAAAAGTATAATCTGTTAAAAACAACGATAGTCCTCTCGACGCATGACTTCAATAATTTCGTGTTTTGGTATACTTAAAGTTGTGCTAAAATTTTGAAAATTGGCACAGAGCTTCTTGGTTAGTCCTACTCGATGACTATTTTGTTGGAACTTTAAACTATTTACCGATCTAATTAATAAAAATTGATATGTATGGTGAAATAGTTTTAAATCGTAATTTCTAACATGAAAAAGTTAGCATGCGAGATTTTTTTTTGTTTTTGGGTTAGTGAGGTTTCGTCTGTGGCAAAGTTGTAGCCAAAAGTGTGATGCGTAAAATATATTTTTTTGAATTTTTTACAATCAAAGGGTTCAATAGATAACTTGGGTTGAAGAGGACGGCAAATTTAGCATTTCGCAACCCATGGAAAGAACTACATCGTACGATGCGACTGCTGAGTGGAATTTTAATTTACAGTTCTAAGAACAAGAAAAAGATGAATATACAGATCACCAGTACATTCATATTATTTATAACACATCTTTCTGTATTACCAGCTTACATTTTTCACTTATAAGAATACATCATAAACAGGGTGTTAAAAATAAGCGGGGAGATACTTTACCTAGTAATTCCTTGGGTCAAAATAAACAGAAAATCAAGGATAACATTTTTTCCGAAATCGTTTCGTTAACCAGATATCCACCATTTTGTATTTTTTACATACAAATATTTATCTTTGCACTTTTCCAACCGATGTTTATGAAACTTGGTATGTATGTTAATGTAGGAGAGACCTGTGTTATAAAAACAGATTCATCTCGATTCACCCTAAAATTTCAAAATTTAACACTTAACTACAGTATAATATACTTTACTACACCACAATATTTACGTATCTATCTATATATTAATAGGCAAGCATGTTTTTTTAAAACCTTTTTTCTCAGCTTGTACTTATTTAATACGCAAGCAGGATTTTTGTGACGATTACTCCTCCGAAACTACTGAACCGATTGACATGTTTTTGGTGTCATTGGAAAGAGCGTAACGTGAAGTTGTGCAGGAAACTTTCTTTTTAGGGAAATAATTAGAGAGTGAGGCCCTGGGGCCCTTTAAAGTTTCGTATTTCTCCATAAGATTAACATGGGAAACAAACATTGTTTTGAAACTCCAGCTGTTGTCAGAAATTAAATCTATCTATATATTAATAGGCAAGCATGTTTCTTTAAAACCTTTTTTCTCAGCTCGTGTGTATCGTAGGGAAAATCTACGCATACCGTTAGAAAGCTATTTTCCTGTAGGTGTGCAGAATCCCTTTATAAATTAAAATAGGCTCAAAAATAAGCACAAAAAATGAATTCGAAATTTTAAAAAATTAACATGGGTTTTATGGGTTGCTATGGTGATGACGAAATAACAACAAAATATAAACAGAAAATCAAAACAAATGGAAGACATTCCAATCACATGTTTTATTTACAGTGTGGGGTGAAAATAGAGAAGTTTGCACAAAACACTTTTGGTCGATTTTTCGACCATGGGGCGTGCTCTCGTATTAATAATTGGTCTCCATGGAAGCATGAGAAAATTCACAATGTTTACATTTGCTTTGACATTTAAATGTAAACAACCAGAACTGTCAAATGCCTATTTCAAAATTTCAGACAGCTGATCCAAAAAAATTAAACAACTATGTGGTAGGTTTATTTAATCTCAAACTTTATGATAGATTATTTATTATAAATCTATTTCAATGATTATGAAACATATTTTTCCCGTTGCGAAGAAAAGTTAATAGTGAGAAGAAAAACGTTAATTGTAAACAGGCAATGTGTAAACTATCTATGTTGTATTAAAAATGTGCATAGTTTTGGATGTTGGTTCGTGTTTAATTATATAAGTTATTAGTTATTGAATTTTTATTTTAAGGATTTGACATAGGAGTAAGCCTATGATAAATAACACCATTTCAGAGTTCTGCCCGTTTTTGTCTAACTCTGTCCTGAAGAGTTTAAAGTAGCCTACACCTTATTGTCTACAAATTGGCTAAATAACTTAGGATAAAAGATGGCAGACTTTTTACGTTGACTTAAATTGTAAGCTTACCTTTTCCCGTCCATGGGCAGTTTAGTTGTTAAAAATTAACCCTTTAAACTGGAATAGGACTGTAATTGTGAGTATTTCCATTAGTTAATAATCTTTTAGTTGACTCTTTTAAAATCATCAGAAATTATGACTGTTATTAGTTTTTAAACAAGTTATTTGTTTATAAATAACTCCTGTACTTCTTTGCAATTGCTCGATTTCGAGCAACATGTACACTACCGTAGTTACCATAAGTCTTTAACAAAATAAAACGTTAACATTTTTAAAATCCAAAGTAAATCAATATAATCTTTCTTTTTTGAAAAATATATTAAAAAAAAAAGGCGATGGTAAAATAACGACAGGCGAGTTTCGATCTGGGTGTTTCAGGTTTGAATCTAGGAGGATTTAACATTAATTAGGTAACATTAATGTTTAATCCTCCTAGGTTTGAACTGATTTAGAGGAATACATGAAACCGAAGGGGGGAGGTAGCAACAAGTGCACTAGTATTTACTAGTGTCCAATTACAATTTGATGGATTTAACCAAAACCTTTTCTATTTCACTTATTTTCAGCTGTTAAATTTCAAACGATACGTTTTAGTGACCTCATTAACGTTATTATCATCATCATCGTTTGAGTTTGGGTTTGCGGCAATGTATTTTTATGAATAAAACCTTTAATTTGATACCAAACTTGACCTCTGCTGCTATTAATTGACTGTATGCACTATTAATTAACAGCTGTGTCTAAGGATTATGTCGGCCTTAGTCATAAACAGGACAACAAGATCGCTCCACTCATCCCACACTCATCTCCATTCATACTTGGCTTAAAATGCATACATTTGTATGGTCGCCATTTCAAAGCAACATGGCTAAATTATCAATGACAAACGTGGAAAACCTTATACGAGTGTGAGTAAGTCCGAAAACAAGAGTAAGTCCGAAAACAACTCTAAAAAACAATAAGCAATAAATTGCAAGAACCCTTGCTTATATCATTGGGTATACACGTATGTACTGACGTGTATACTCAATGCTTATATCGAACAAATGTACATCGTGAGAATTTCCATTAGTTGTTCCATTTAGTTTTGTGTCTATTTGTATAATAGTTTAGTTGACTCTTTTAAAGTCAGCGGAAATTGTGACTGTTATTACCCTTGAAATAATGTTTGTGTAGTACTTTGCAATCCTACCAATGCTTATAGAATCATACGATTACAATTTTCTGGTTAGAATATGTCGCATAGAGTGGTGACTACTGTATATTTTTGGTTTGCTTGTAAAACAGGATCAACAGAGATTTTCCATCGACTTAAACAATACGATACTCTCAAATTGTTCATTGCTATGACAAACTATCACACAGTTTGATGAATATTTGTGTGTAAACCACATACAGTACACCTGTATTCTATCTATTTTTCCTTTTATTTTTCCAAGACTTTATAGAAAATCACGCATTACGTGATCAGTGAAGAAAGGCTGT